AATCAGGTGCCGTATCGTTGACGGCCGTCCCCGGAACGGAGAGGAAACGAAACGGACGGCCCCGTGACGTCAATTCCAGTAGTAATCCGTATTTTACGCTCCAACTGCCGTGTCGCAACCGGTAGAGGTCCGTCTATACTCAGTCTGCAGTCTATGTAACAGTGTAAGCTAGGATGCAGCACCAAGACGTGGAAGCATGCCGCAAATTTCTTCTCAATCTCTCGGTGCTTTTCTTCCAGGTTCTATCATCTCCAGATCCCAGTCGCGTTCCCATCCTAAAACCCCAAATAAAAACACAGGCCGGCAAAATGGTAAAGTCGCGTACTGTATCGTGAGACTGTTTGGTGGTGTGTGTAGTGGGGATCCTGGCGTCTTGGCAGCTTGGCGTATTGCGCAAACGTGCAATGGGTGCAAAGACGGAGGACAGACTGCGCGACAGGAGAAATCTTGCTGCTCTTCTCAGAATTGAGAGGTGAGGTCATTGGTGTGCATTGCAGACCTGGATTGTCGCATGGTCACGGCGGTCATGGATCCTCTCGCTTCTCACGAGGTCAGCGTCTAGAGCGGCGTCTATCAAGTTTACAGCACTTCTTCAACAAGCATTTCCGGCATTCCCCTGGTCTTTTGATCATCATGGACCGGTTGTTTCAACGGCATCCATCGTCATGGTTAAGCTAACCGTTGACACATGGCCTCGATTGCAATGCAAGCATGGTCATAGCTCTCTGTTAGAGCCATGGCAGCATACCGAACATGACCAATGCAACACTCTTATTAACGAGATGCCCAACTCTTGTCTCGAACTCCAATATTGCCCACTGAACCATAAATGCTATGCTTTGCAGCTCTCACTCGTTCTGAAAGCTCATTCGGCATTCCACCACCGTCCAAGAATATCAACCAGTACTCGGCCATGCCATGCTATCTTAGCCAAGACAAAAGAGCCAAGGAAAAGCACAAGCTAGTGGTTGCTCAACAAACCACCATCTCGCCGAAGGGAAGAATGTCTGTATCAAGGTTCAGCTGGTTCATCACATCTTGGCACCTAGGGTTAGCGGTCGTCGTGATAACCTCAAAGGGTCAAATCCATCTTGGCGGCTCTTGGCGCTTGAGCAATGACGCGTATCCAATCAATCCTCGGACCTTCAAGTCGAGATACGCCGAATTATCGAGCGTTGCACCCCCACATCTCCTCTGACGATCCAGCAAAGATGTTCTGATCGCTTCTGCGTTTAGGTATCTCTGCATTTTCCGTGGGGGATTTTGCATGTGGCATGGAGGGTAACAAGAAAGAAAGAAGAAGAAAATTGAAAACCAGCATGAAATGAGAGCCCTTGGCAGAGACACTCGTTTCTGGAACAAGTTAAGAGTAGGCTTGGCTGTAGACTTTGGACTCTGTCAATTGGCCTGATGAATCGCCACACCCTGTCGGCTCCTCACTCTAGGACCAACTAACCTTGCGCTTATGTTACTTAAGGTTCTGGGCACTTGCGCTAAGCTTATCGGCTACTCAAAATCAATCATATCACCTGATCCACACTCTCTGGGTCCATTGTCCAATAGTGACAGCACTTCTTGTCTTGGCAGGCCCTGTGTTCAGTTCATGTTACGTCGAGAAACAGAAAGAATGCTTGCCAAAAGTCGCCTATTTTTTCTTTCTTCTCTTGGATCGGGTTTGTTCGTATTATGGTTAGTGGTGAGACATGCCGCATTGATAAAGCAGAGTTTGCATCCCCAATCTTTGCTGCCATCATTTCGATGTGAATTGTTTCTCTCATTTTCTTCTTTCGAAATGCCTCTTGATTGACTCCCCACTGGACCAATATCTCCTGTCAACAATAAAAAGTTCCTCGTTTCTTCACGTTTGATGCCCATGTGCCTTCACACTTTCTCGGCCTCTCCGGAGCCCCAGTCTCCTCCGCCTCGGCCTGCGCCTCCGTATCCACCTCCGCTCCCTTGATGCCAAGACAAAAGTCATACGAGTCACGTGCTCCGCCGCGGTGGTCCACCTTCCGCTCCGTTGAGGCTTGGCACATCCGAAGTGGCGGCTTCGGGCCTCAGCCTTCGGCATGGGCGATCCAAACGCCGAGCGGCCAGCGAGGAGCGTCTTAATGGCCGACTTGTCCTGCACATCTCCGGTTGTGTGACTACTCGGTGAGCACAAGCAGCAAACTTAGCCATTAGGCATTATTTGAGGCATTGCGTGAAATGCAGCGGTGCTGACCGAGGCCATATCAATGCAGGCCGTGATACTGAAGTGTAATGCTTAAAGCGTTTAGTGTTGAGATTAAGGTTGCCCTGGCTTGGAACATCGATGACAAAGAATTTCCGCCATGGTTGCATTTTGAGCTACAAAGACATAATCAGTGATACGATCGAGACAGGGTATTAAGCCTACGGCTATCAAAATCCCCGGTTGGTTCACTGAAGCAGGGCGAATCGCTACTCAAGTGTCTGATATCCTTCAACTAATTTCTTGCTAGTGTGGAAAGAAGCAAAATGAAGACTGGCAGGGATCAATGACTTTGTTGAGGACCTCATTTTGCTTGTGCAGATGGTTTTCAGGTTTGTAACCCCAGACCCCGCGTTTCCCCCTGGCAACCCCCATTCATGATGTTTTGTACTCTGTGCATATATGGAAAAAACGGCTGCTCATCACTTTGTGCAGTAGGCTGTGAGACAGTGGCCATAAATAAAGAATGCAGGCCTTCGTATCCTGGTGGCCGAGCGAGTTGCATTTATAACGGCGGCTAAGGCGACTCTATTCCGCGACCGCTTGAGATCGACAGCTAGCAATGATCATCTTGTTTCTTTTCTCAACGGTTAGACTCCGTGAACATCCTGAGCATAGTGTTTATAACCGACAAGATCTCGGAATGGTCGTCCACTCAAATGCCTGCCAAGATCTAATGCCGTTTGGCCAACTTCCGCTCCGTGAAGTCGTAGCTTAAACCGGCCAGTGACTTGGCTTGCAGCTTGCCAAGCACTTAAGCAGGCATTGACGCACAGTCACAAATTGGTCGTAATTTACGGCAATCACTCCCTATTACGCCCGAGGTGTTACAGCATTAGACGCAGCCAAGGACTTAGGTGGGGGACTGTGCCGTATCTGATGCTAAGCCTTAGAAACGTGGAAGTTGGCAGATTGGCACCAAACCAAGAGATAGATTCGGGACCGTTGAAGCTTAATGGCGATCAGGAAATCAGATCAGATTTGCCACGCAATGTGGTTTGTGCCGTCCATCACTTGCAAATGCCAGCTACTTAACATTAAGGCTTCAGCCAAGCCTTTTTACTGGACGCGTTGCATACCATACAAACCTGGCTCAAAAGTCATTTTGCTTTCCCATAGAATCCAGACTAACATTATTTAGTACACTTGGATAAATACTGTAATTTCATCTGCCGCCAGTTCCTGGTCAGTGTCCCAAACACAAAACCTCCAAACAGGTGGAGTCACTGCTGGCCAAGACTATTACCAAGGCTCTATCGCCGAATCTTGTAGCTATCCCAGCCAGCCAAGAGACAAGCTTCTGAATAATAAAGACATATGTCGTTATAATAAGAAACTGTCTTGGCAGCCGGGTGTTGCTACTTGGCCGCATCTATCAACCACCTACCCCAGATCAACGATGCACAAGCTCCGCCAAGTCCGCCCAGCCGCCTCTGATTACATGCATCGTGTATTTATTCATGATCTAGTGTCTAGGCAGAATGGATCTCTTAGTGATTATCATGCATTTTCGTTTAAAAATACGGCTTGGCTTGGCTGGAATAGCGGAAGCTCAGTTGCCAAGTTTTCCGCCAGGACCATTTCGATATCGTAGCGATTCTTTGGGTATGTGCATTGGGAACTGAATGAACTCTGGAGTTAAACATGATGAATTTTTACAAACTGAACACACTGGGTTCTGGCAAGTCTGGTATCCAGCTATTATTTGCGAGCCATGTAATCTCTTTGTGTTCAATGTTCGCGGTCCCTCTTCGAGGGAACTTAATGAGATTTTGACTATGTTTTTCATGCCACGTGTAACTTCGTCAGTAACCACGTTTGGGGATCAAGCTTCTATATTGAAGTCCATCTTCCTTACCCTCAAAGCTAGACTGCCTCGGATGATTCTGCTTCTAGCAATGGAGGACCAGGTCTCGAGATGACTTCTTATACCCCAGGTAGCTGCAAACAAGGTCACTGAGTAAGTCATTACAAAAGCTTATTATGTTTAAATTGGGACATTTATCTTTATTGAGGCTGTGTACATATTGCCTTCTAAAGGCTTGACTTAATTGGGACTTTTCAATGTGTTGGCTTAATATATCTCATTCAGATATCGTAAGCTTTAACTATCAATCCGGTTTCGCGGTCATGGCACATTTGAAAGTCAAAAGGTGCATCAGTACAGGAACGAAAGAGGCAAGATGTTATTCCACTGAACAAAAACAAAGAAAATTGCAATATGCAAATATGAACTTCGTCTACTGTTCCTAAATGTGAGAGATGAATATCAGGGCCTGCCAGTGCCGGCAGTGCCAGCCAGCTTCAGCATCCATCTTTGTTCCAGAAGATGCCAATCCTTATTCACTGAAAAAATTGTGAGCTAGATGTGTTATTTGCAGTTGAGACCTGCGGCTGAGAGCTTATAGCCACCGCACAGAACTTACTATTCACTGAAGAGATGTTTTATTTATTTTCCAACTCATCTTGGCATATATGGATTTTGCAACTGACGAAGAAGCAAACATTTCCCTTGTCTATTTCATATGACGGCAAAAACTAAAGCAAAATTGGCGCTTCGAGTTCTACTGCGAGTTTGACTTGTTTGCTTCGTCAACCCATTCCTTTTTGCGGCTTCTTGTTCAGAACGCCTTTCATCTCGCGAGGACGAATTATCGCGCGGGGAACTTTCTCTAACAATAGTTTCTGCAACTTCTCCTAAAGCTATTTATCATCCATCAAAATGCGTCGCGGAATGCACTACATACGTAGTCCGACGACACTGACGATGATCGTGTGTCCAACCGCACCGTTTGTTGTTCCGCGACAGGTACGTATTTGATATTTAAAATCAAGCCACTACATTCGATATGAAAAATCAAAGTAACACACTATAGCTATTGCAAGTCAAACAAGACCAATCGGCGCTATTTAAGACTCTTCCGAATGAGATATTGCTCGAGATCACGTCCTATATCGAGGTTGAAGACACTTGCAAATCCTTATTCTATCGTATTTGTCTATCTGCCAACTTCCGCATTCTTTCGGCTAGTGGCCATAGGCACCGTGACCTGGAGTTCTGTGCACATCTCAAGAACCTACTCAAGCGCATGAGACCCCTGACCCCCAAAGGTCTACCCAAACGAACGATGGCTATATGCTGCGATTGTGTTCGATATCGACATAAGCGAGTGGCATACTGGAAGAAGATAATAAGCAAGAAAAACCTACGATCTTTGGATCTGTGTGCTGCCAACGATGCAGCAGAGTCTTGGTGCACAGGAGAATCGATGCAGTGCCCAAGATGTTGGTTTAGGGTCGAGTCATATTACATTATGCGTTGAGGTGAGAGGAAATGCGCGGGAGAAACTCTCGACAATGGAAGGAAGTGATATGCTGCTGGTTGATGTAAAGTATTTGGAACTACGGTGTGCTTTCTGACAAGCAGAGTCATTGCAAGTCAAACTTGTTTATTGGAGCCTATCAGACATTGATTTAGTAGGAGCTCCAGGTTGAGCACTGGAACTTGTACTTGATGCCTCCCTTTGTAGGCATGAAGAACAAGAATCATGAACCGATTTTCTTTATGCCTTTTGGCGTGACTTTATCACGATCCACTTGCAGTCCTAGCCTACGTGACTGGATCTGACATTGAAGTTGCTGACGAATCAAGAATGCACTAAACAAAACAGCTTATCTACAATGATGACCAGGACGTGTCTTCTCACATTAATGGAAACTGTACACTTAGAAAAAAATTTGACTGTACCCCATATTCTCTGAACCAGAATGTCAGCCTCAAGTCGGGTAGGGGCGAAGCTCGAGTTCATCAGCGTGAGCCACCCAGACGAGGTCAAAAACCGGCACAACAAGCGCAAAATCCATCAGCATGTGATGAAAGATATAGGGTTCTCAAGAAGAAAGAATATGCAGAGTAGGACTTTAAGGTCAGAGTCGAACATTTCAAAGACTTTGGCACTTCACGAAACCCACTCGGCGGCATACACACTCTACCAACCAGACAACTGTAAGCCTGAAAAGATATCCCAGTCATCAACACGGCCTCTTGATCCAGGTGCAGATCGGACACTCTACTCTAGGACTGATATGAGAGCTAAGATGATGGAAGCCTTTCGTAAGTCCTATTTATCGTTAAATTACAAATATCAGATCTCACAAAAGACAGTGCTTCGTCCAAAGTCGTCCATATGCGACAAGGTCAGAGAGATCTGTTTTGCTATCGGCCTCGTCGACGACGCTACTCTAAATCTTGCACTTGCAGAGATCGCCCTGTATAGCAATGGGTATACTGGTGATATGCATTCTGGGCGAGAAGATTCAGCTGCGCTGAAGCACTACAACCACTGTCTACGACTCACCAGCCAAAAGATCCAAACTGCGAATAACATGACTTCTGATGAAGTTTTGATCACTGTCATAGGTCTTGCCAACTATGATGTAATATTTGGGATCTAATCTGGGAACTCCCGCTAACTGACTACAGATGAGCATAGGTAAAGTCGAACGATACAGCACCCATCTGGCCGGATTAGAAACCTTGGTGCGCGGCCGTGGAGGGGTAGGCAAGCTTAGGTCATCATATTTGTTATTGTCTTTGATCTGGTAGGCATTGTTTGGAACTCAAGACACATCGGAAACTGAATAAAATACTAATAGGTCAGATATTATCGGATGCCTATCCTTGGACCGCCCACCAAGATTTGAAGCTCCTTCACATCTATGGACTCAGTCTGAACCACCAACAATAACCCCTACACTGACAAATATTTTGAAAGCCTTGATGCATCTTTCACCCCATCTATCAAATATCTGCTCGGTCCTTCGATCACTCACAAGAGTTTCGAAAGCGTCTCAGCACTGGGAGGAGTCGACGTTTCATTACTGTGAAACTATCCTACGCAGCTCATATTTTCTCCTCCGTGTACCGCGGCTTGCGGCATTGGAAGGGCCAGAGAGTCATCCTGCTGGAATACCACTAATTCACGAGGTTGTCCGTTTGGCCGCTCTGAGATTTCTTGTCACAGCAGCCGAGCACAGTCATCACACAGTTGGCGCCATTCAGTATCGAAAACCACAACTTTCACATCTGCTCACTGGATATGAAATACCATGGGGTGGACTGGAAGAACTTCAGATTTGGATACTAGCTGTAGCGGCAGTGACTGAGGGGACTCCTGATAGAAGCTGGTTGACTGAGAGGATAACACATATGATGGAACGACTAGGTTTGAACTGGATCGACCTGAGAGAAATGCTGAGACAGGTTGCTTGGGTCGATTCTTTTGAAGGCCAGTTCAGTAAGCTTGAAGAGGCTATAAACAATCCGCATACCCTGAGATACCCTGAGATACCCAGAGTTAACTATATATCGCGAAACCGATAAATAAATTATAGATAGCTCCATCGTTTCAGGCATTGGAATGCCAGGAAATGGCTGTCCAAAGTCTGGTGAAAATCAAAGACCAGAGTGGTTGAGCTCGTGTGATAGGCTAGCTCGGATCACATATCTCGGACTATGTGCCTCGGACTCTTCATCAACTAACTTAATGGGACTTTGATTACGAAAAACCGACCCGCTGTTTTCATATTAGCATAAATCGATCCATTTCTCCCCGAGCACCGAATGGCCAGCTCGCTTTCAAAACCAAATCTAAGCCCCAGGGCCAACCAATGGAGAATCCTATCAAATTGAACCGCGCTTCAGCATTTAGCCTAGTAACGTTCCCCGGGTTGCTTCCAGGAATTTGATGATATCTTCTTAATGCTACATGTGGCTCAGCAAATCCTTACAGGATCCGAAGGATTCTTTAGCCGGGATGTTGGATTCCTGTAAGAACTAAAGAATATGCTTGGAGTCCGAGATGTCGCATTCCAGTGCGAAGGCAAGGCTACCGGTCATCTAGATCGGTTGTATTTGAGTGAATGTAGCTGCTGCCTCACCTTGGACAGGATACACCTGCTCCAATTTGTAAAACTTGAATATGAAGCTCAATAATTTCATTCGTGCCCTGGTAGTATTGGCTACTGGAGCACGTGCACACAAGCAGCTCACCCCCCAACGTGTGGCAGATGACATCAAAGCAGAAGAGTAACTAATCACCCTCTGTACTTACATAATATCGCATTTGGAGCTAATAATATGTAGTCTCGATGATACGCTCCAAGCCTTATACAAGATTGCCCTGGACAACGACAACAATCGAGCCTTTGGACTCTCAGGTTACAACGCGTCTCTTGATTTTGTTCTCTTTCGCTTAAGTGGCAGTAACCATTTTGATATCACTGTTCAGCCATTCAAGCATCTCTTTTCCCAAACTCGAAAGATTGTCTTGACAGGTCCCGATGGGGAACATGTTGATGCGGTCTCACTGCAGTACAACCATGCCACTCCCCTACCTGACGGAGTAACTGCTCCTTTGGCCCTCGTCCCCATAGACGATGTTCGTGGCTCAGGTTGTTTCGAAGACCAGTGGAAGGACATTGATGCCAAAGGGAAGATCGCCTTGATCAAGCGCGGAAAATGCCAGTTTGCAAACAAGCTCAAATTTGCCAAGGACAACGGTGCTTCAGCCGCCATCGTCTTCAATGATAATCCCAACCAAACAGCGGGATCCGGTTCCCTCGGCGCCGACAACTTTGGTAAACTTCCACCTGTTGGTGTCATCACGTACGACAAGGGAAATTCTTGGGTCGAACGGCTTAACGCAGGGGAGAACCTGGAGGTCAATCTGACCATCGATGTCTTGACTGAAAAGCGCGAAACTTGGCAAATCATTGCAGATACCAAGGCTGGCGATTCTAACAGCGTTGTGATGCTGGGCGCCCATCTTGACTCTATTCAAGAAGGCCCTGGTATCAACGATAATGGAAGTGGTGTTGCCGCCCTACTCAGCATCGCTGAGTCAGTCAAGAAGTACAAGAAATTCAAAAACAAGCTTCGGTTTGCCTTCTGGGGTGCTGAAGAGAGTGGGATGATTGGATCGACCTACTATGTATCCAATTTGTCCAAGGACGAGGCCAGCAAGATTCGATTTTACTACAACTACGACATGATTGCCTCTCCACAACCTTACTACATCGTATATGCTGACTCGGATGCACACAAAGCTGGCGCGAAATATCTCTATGGTTTCTTAACCGATAAAGGGTATCCCGTTGAGTATACGTAATTCCATCCTAATTAAACATATTCTATGGACTCCGCTAACACGCCACAGACCCTTTGGGGCGTCTTCAGACTACGTTGGCTTCCTTGAACTCGGAATTCCTTCATCCGGTATCTTTACAGGCGCCGGTGCTCCGCAAGATGCTTGCTATCATACCGCATGCGATGATATCAAGAACATCAACAAGGAAGCATTCCTCATCAACGCTAAGGCTGCCGCTTATGCCGCTGCAAGTCTTGCCTTAAGCGTAGATGAGGTGCCTAAGCATGAAAACTCAACTGCTAACCCTTTGAGTAAGCGCGGCATAGCGAGAAACATGGTTCGGTGGTCGAATGTTGCTCGAGGCGCAGAGAAGGTGCATAGTTGTGGAAGTGAGAGGAAGGTCTTGATGTGAGGCATTGGTTAACGATTGTCAAGTGCTCGACATACGACGAAGGCTTATCTCGCTATATGCGTAACTTTTGAATAATTATGAAGCGCCTTTGCGGTATTCACAATATAGAGCTTTTGTTGCCCAGGATGAAGGGGATGCGAGAGCTATCTGTAAACCCCATAGTTTCGAATTCTGGTAATAGGCAAACAGATACAGCTTGGTACGAATGTTGTGTTATTTCTTTTACAAATAACACCTAGGTAGACAGAATCTTAGGCCTTCCTTCGGCATCTAAATCGAAAACATCTTCCTCGATCTTAGCCCCATTCTTCAGGGCCTCCTCGAGTCCTCCCCTCAGCATATAGGGATCCGTTGAAAATCCCTTATGCCACTGTCGTCCCTCGTACTCTTCTTCTACCGGTTTCTCACCAGTACCCTGAATCGCTTTAGCACTCTTTTCAATGTTTCCCCAAACTCGGAGAATATTTTCTCCTGCAAGCAGACGTATCTGTTCATCTGTTGCACCACGCTGCATGAGCACCTCCATCAAACTGGGATATTTGGAAACATCCTCCAGCCCAATAGGCACGTTTGACATTCCAAAGAAATCAGCACCGATTCCAACGCAATTCCAGCCACATACGTCTGCAATGTGGAAGATATGATCTGCGACATCGTGTATCGATGCCTGTTCAGGATGCTTCATGTTGAGAAAGCGATTGAGGAACACAGCCATCACAATGCCGCCGTTGTGCTTGACCTGGCGAAGAACATCGTCGGGGACGTTTCGAAGATGCGGCTCAATGGCGTATGCTCCAGAATGCGAGAATATTACCGGTGCTCGTGCAAGACTGAGAACATCCCTCATTGTCTGATGAGAGACATGTGACAGATCAACCATCATTCCCAGCCGGTTCATCTCCTTGATGGCTTCCTTCCCGAGTTTTGCAAGCCCCGTATCTGCAGTTCCGGAGGCAACAGTTGAAGCTGCCATGGCAAACGCATTATCGCAGTTGTGTGTGATAGTCATGTATCGCGCTCCCAGTTCGTACATCTGCCGAAGGCTTGCAATGCTGCCACCAACCTGGTGACCACCTTCAATGCCAATCATGCTTGCGATGCGACCTGCTTTGAACGCTTTTCTAGCGCAGGCCGCAGTATCGCAATACTCAAGGTCCTTGGGGTGCTCTCGGATGAAGCGTCGAGTCACGTCAATTTGTTCAAGAGTGTCTCGAACGATCCACTTTGAGGAGATTAGCAAGAGTCCAATACGACAGAAAGTTTGACGAAGGAATTGAGACTTACGGAAGGATCCTCGAAATGCTTCTGCTGTTCATCGCAGTCCACATACACGCTCCAGAATTGACCGCCGACCATTCCTTGCCTCAGTCGCTGTAGATCTGTATGGCCGAGCAATCGATTGGTAAAGTCAAAACGCTCATCATAGATACGATTCTTGAGTTCAAGACGGAGCATGAACGGTAGATCATTGTGGCCGTCAATTAAACTGCGGACTGTCAGTGCAGTTCTCGTAAGCAAGATCAAGAGTCAGCTTACGGCGTCGTCTTAAGAATTCGCTTAGTACGCTCTGCGTAATTCGTGGGATCAATTGACTCGTGACCAGGCCATAAAAACGTGAATGGACTCAGTAAAAGCACAATTCCAGCAGTCATGACTGGATATCGGAATCGAGACCACCAAGCTGAGGCTGAAGAATTGGCGTGCAATACCAATGCTCCATCGCGATTGTTGTTAGTTGACGTCGTTGATTGAGGAGTGTTTGCCTGTTGGCTATTTCGTCGGGGCGGCGAGGCCACAGTTGGTGACGAATCAGCCATGATAGCCAAATTCTGTTTGCGAAAATGAATATCTTAGGTGGCCAATTTCTTGTACTTATACGAGTCTGGATCGGAGCAGAGTTTGTGATTGAGTCATGATTAGTTATCCTTGCTAACCACTGAACGGTGGAGTGGTAAGCGGGCTACAATAAAATTGACACACTAAGGTAGGTGGATGATAGATGGACCACGAAACGGAGGAGCAGGCTTGTAGCGGACAATAAGAGAGTAAAAAAGCATCTAGCCATGAATAGAGGGCCTCATTATGCATCAATCCACTAAACCATTGTCTTTTTGAGGTTTCAAATTGATTCTCCGTCGTCGTTTTGATAGCCGTGTCGGGTTTTGATTATCGAACGTGATGAGAACTAGCGGCATTACAACGGGAATAGTGTCATTGTCCAAGACGCGAAGATATCATTTCAGAATAGAGATGTGTGCTCGGTGCCCAGGGAGTACTCTTTTCTTGTTATCAAGTATATTTGAAGCAAATAATAGGCTCTCAGAAGGCACGGTACTCACGCTTTGAACTTAGCATTGGTTCTTGAACATCCATCTCAATCCTGGACCCCTTGAATCAGATTCTTGATTCCTTCTCCTTTCAAAGTTTTCTTCCATGCTTCCGGGGCTTGATTGAAGGGTGTAACGCTACTGATCAGAGATGAAACCAAGACTTTTCTTGACTCAAGAAGCTCAAGAGCAATTTCGAAATCCCCAGGACCATATCGAAACGAGGTTTTCATAACCATCTCCCTCTCGCACATGGCATGGAGAGGCAAGGTCTGCATGGCTTTGCCAAGTCCAATTTGGACAAAAACACCTCCGCGTCCCAAGGCAAAGATACCAAGTTGCGCTGATGATTCGACTCCAGTGCATTCCAAGACAACGTCAGCACCTTCATCAAGACCAGCCTCTTGTTTCAATCTGGCCGCTTCTTGTTCAGGTGTTGAATTCGACTGGGGCTTGAACGTTTGACATTTAAGACCTTTCTTTGCAAACTCAAGTTTAGTAGCGTTGATATCGGTGATGACAACCTGTTTGGCTCCATAGGCCCACGCTGCTGCCGCCGTGAGATAACCCACTGCCCCCGCTCCTTGGACCATGACTCTCTGGCCAGGCCGTACATCGGCGAGACGAACACCATGGACAGCGACACTCAAAGGTTCCACGAGAACAGCCTCTTCCAAGCTGATGGAGTCGGGAATCTTATATGCGAAATCCTCTGGGATCTTGAAATATCGAGAAAGCGTTCCGTGAGTGGATGGCGGATCTGCGGCGAACTTCATCTTCTGGCAGAGATTGTATCGTCCAGATTTGCAGTGAGTGCAGTTCTTGCATGAAAAGCCCGGCTCAATAGCCACGCGATCACCAGGCTTGAGGTTTGAAACTGCTGGGCCGACTTTGTAGATGATACCTGAAGCTTCATGGCCCATCACCAGAGGATGCTCCCCTGAAACCTTTCTCGCAAATCCGCCTTCCGTCCAAAAATGGACCTGATATTATGAGCATTATATTAAAGAGTATTGGGAATGACACTCACATCGCTACCGCAAACCCCAGTGTATGCAATCTTCACAATTACATCATGCGGATTTTCAATTTGAGGGACTGGCCTTTCCGCAAAGCGAGCGTCTTCAGGGCCGTACAAGAAGCATGACGGATTCTATCAACTTTTTGTCAGTCCATGTTTATAAAAGTCTAGGACGATACTTGCCGTCTCACTCATAGTTTCAACTTTCGTAGAAAAGGTTTGGAATCAAAAGATTAAAAGCGCAACTGTATGACTGCTGTTAAGTCCATGAGATTTATGCTACTATATATACATATATTCAACACAACTTCTACTTACAGTCCCAGTCAGGTGATGGTTCTCCTCGGAAGACTGTCCTCCGAATGAGGGGAAACATGACTACATTAGCGATGTCACCTCTCCATCGTGAGCAATCAGAACAGAGAATTGATTTGTTGGGGATGACCGAGTTGCAGGAGGCCAATCCACTACACAACCGAGATCAGCACAGAAGAAAGGTATTTCATGAGATAAAGAATGTGTTACATGACATGAGAAGGCCGTTTCCATAGATGGCTTAAATATAATGATTCAAAAATGTTTTAGAATACTATCAACATAGGAAGCGCGATTTTCGTGAATGTGATTGTGAAGAGAAATGTAGTTGAATTAAATATATAGTTTTAACGGGAAACATTCCGCTTAAATACCTGTAGATCTTTTGGCACTAAATAATCCTTTCATCTATGTAGATTATATAGACAGGTGATAATGTGAAACCATCCTCAATTTCAACCCAGCGATCACCACCATTGTATAAATATTTATACTGTTGTCGAATACCGACCATCGTGAAATATCTCCATGACATTCTACAGTTCCCTTTCGTCAACTGTCTAGGGCAACACATAGCCTCCATCAATCAGCAGATCGCTTCCCGTCATATAAGTCGAAGCATCGCTAGCAAGATACAAGTAGAGACCCTTGATCTCTTTGACATGGCCCTGCCTTCCAAGAACAGCCATGCGATACGCCTCATTGAGCGCCTCGGGGCTTGCACCCATCTTTGTATCAAAGAATCCAGGAGATACAATATTCACACGAGCAAACTCGCGCCATTCCCGAGCAAGAGACTTTCCAAAGTGGGTTATAAAGGCCTTGCTTCCGTTATAGACTGGTTGATCGGTTGGCACGTTGACGATGTGAGCACTCATGCTGGAGGTGATGATGAAGTTGCCGAAACCCTGACGCTTGAAAATCTCACCGGCGTATTTGGCAGAGAAAACAACGCCGTCGACCACATGGCTGTTAGTAGAACCAGAGATGCTGGGAGTGATTACTTACCATTCACCGACATCTGCTTCCTGTATTCTTCCAGGGTCTGCTCAAGAATGGGTTTTGAAATTGCCATGCCTAACGGATGCTTCTTAGTTCTCTTTCAACTCATACATGCTCTGTGCTGTGGAAATGTTCACCTGCATTAGCAACATAAACATCGATCTTGCCAAAATCATTGAGAACAGCTTTCAGGGCATCTTGAATCTGTTGTGCATCGGATACTGAGGAAATATTCTTATCAGCTGCTGCTAAAGGCTCTACTCAGAGAAAGATACACACCGTCGACCTTGTAAGCAGATGCTTTGATGCCATGTTGCTCTGACAATAGTCGAGCCTTTTCAATGGCAGCCTCATTCCTGGAACACAGATTAGTAACAGTTTGAGGACATAGATCTCAAGGAAATTATTATGAATAACTCACGAGTTATACCAAAGAGCAACATTTCCGCCTGCCTCAGCGTAGCCCTCAGCTACCGAATACCCTAGACCGTCAGCAGCTCCGTTGACAACGAGGACCTTTCCATTCAAGCGAAGCTGCTCAACCACATTGTTGGGAATATTGGGAAAGGGTTTAGGGAAACCCTCTCGCACTTTGGTAGCATCTTCGACGGACATAGACATTGTGAATTGGTTCTGAGGAACGACCACTTATTGAAGTATAATAATAATATAGAAGAGTGAGAAGAGGGGTATTATTATATAAATGGCCATATACGTTCACTCATATCCTGTATATCTCTCTCAACCCCACATCGGAGCACTGTACCCCGACGTTGGCCCCTCTCACCAACCGTCGTCATTTGATCAAGAGGGCGAATCCAGATTATCATGATTCGATGGATAACGCCAGCCTTTCTCCATATTTTTCACTTCCATGCGCGCCAGTCACACGTTACAGTTCAGTTCAGTAACGAAACGCAGAACCCGCCTATTCCTAATTAGGAGTCAAAATTGTAACGACATTACACCGACCATCGAACCTTGTGAAGGTCATAGTGTTAATACTGTTGGAACGCATTGCTTGAAAGGCAAAGGCATCTGCAATCGACGCTGACTGATCATCAATTTAAGGTACACGGCAATTAGTGATAGCGGGGCAGCTCAGCTTATTATTCAACAACCGATTGGTCAATTTCAACCAGGATCTCGATTTTGTGGCTGTCTGACAGCAGGAAAGATATCTTCCTCCTGATGATAATGCAACCTGGTTTTCTCAACATTTCCCGAGCATCCGCAGTTTTCAATCTTCAGGACTTGTAAGTGTAACGGATACCATTGGCCACGATGTGGCTTCTTGGCCTTCATGATGATGGCTCCTCGCTCCTCACGCGCTTCCTCCGCTTCTCAGGCGTGATACTGGTCGCGTTACTTGTCCACGCCTTTCGAAAAGGTTATCGAGTTCGCAAGAAGTTCCAGGCTCTTAAAGATCAGGGCATTGTATGTTTTCCTATCATCACTAAATAACTTCAATTTCTGATGCAAGGGATAGCCCATTATGAAACATTCTATGATTCTCGGCCATCTTGAAGTCATTGGGAAGCTCGTTTCAGCACTTCCATCTGACGCGCACGGCGACTACCTGATGCTGAAGATTCAAGAGAACTGGCGAGAACTGTTCCCTCAATGCACAAAATGCCCACCTGTTGCTTACATCGATACGTGGCCCTTCACGGCCCCGATGATTATCTCTCTCAACGCAAACGTGTCAGCTCAGTTTACACAGGAGCATTCACTGCCCAAGGCTTATGAACAAAAACATGTTCTTTATCCTCTCACCAAGAACCGTGACTTGGCCTCTATGGAAGGTGCGGAGTGGAAGCTCTGGCGTAAAAGACTGAGCCCAGCTTTTAGTATTCAAAATATCAATAGTCGTATACCAGACATTCTCGAAGAGGTAGAGGACTTTGCCAATGTTCTCAAGAGCAAAGCAGGTAAGGACGGATCATGGGGAGAGGTCTTCCCACTTGGAGACGCCACGGCCAATCTTACTCTTGATGTTATCATTCGCCTCTTTCTGTAAGTTCCACTACGTCTCAAGAGCTTTGAGAGCGTCAAGTACTAGATACTAATAACGTCACAAAGGAACATTCGCATTCACGAGCAGTGGGGAAGAAGCTCACCTGTTTGTGCCGCCCTCCTTGACAGCATTTCCAGGTTGTACTTCTTCGTCAATCCTGCCAACTTCATTCAATACTACAACCCGTGGCGCCATTTCAAACTCTGGCAGGACTACAGGACTCTTGTCAAAAGCTTTACTCCTGCACTTCAAGACCGTATGAACAAGCTTCAGCAAGATCGCACAGCGAAGGGAAAGACACTCGTCGATCTCATCGTTCAGGCCCTTGATGCCGAGAGAGCTGAACAGAAAGGAGCGGGACAGGATAGCAAGGACCAATCGAACATGGAGCTTGACGCTGACTTCCTTGAGATGGCCATTGGACAGATCAACACTTTCCTCTTTGCGGGTTTTGACATCACTGCGGCAACTATCGCCTGGCTCTTCCGCTTGCTCAGCGAGTATCCAGAGGTTTTGGCCAAATTGCGAGAGGAGCACGATGCAGTCCTTGGCCCAAATGCCTGGGACGCTGCAGATGTGATAAGAGAGAACCCACAGTTGCTAAATCAGCTACCATACACACTAGCTGTCCTTCGTGAATCCATGCGTTATCATACCAACGTTGGTTCAATGCGTCGTGGCGAACCCGGCTTCTTCCTCGTAGGTCCTCCGGGCTCTGATTCTGGGTTCGAAGGGAAGAAGCTACCAACCGAGGACTTCATTGTTTGGGATGGGTCATATGCAATTCATCGTGACCCTGAGATCTGGCATCGAGCTTGGGAGTTTCTTCCAGAGCGCTTTCTTGTCACTGATCCCGAGGATCCCTTGTACCCTCCACCCAACGGCTGGCGTTCATTCGAGGCTGGGCCACGAGTTTGCATTGGGCAGCATCTTGCCACGGTCGAGATAAAGCTGGCCATGGTATTGGTAACGAGATGCTTCGATATTGAGTGTGCATGGGATGAATGGGATCAGATCAAGTAAGTCTCCTGGTGTCTGAATCACATCGCCGGCTGCGTTACTGACCTATGCTGTTTTGAAGTGGAACTCCAAACTCTCAAAAGGCACGACCGACTGTCTGGGGCGACCGTTGCTATCAGGTTGGAACAGACTCGCCGCCACGAGTCAAGAATGGTATGCCTGTACATGTCAGAGCCCGTGGGCTGTAGAATTAAATCGACTTTGGGAAGAGCGATATCACTGAGCGAGCGAAAAGCTGTTGCACATTGGAATCGAGAGGCGCTATGCAAGACCTGGTGGGCATTGCTAGCTGAACACTCACCTAAGTATCTGTAGATACGGCATCCTAGACTTGGTTATAGGAGCGACAATCGCAAATAAGCTATACTGCAGTTCTTACATCTCTGAACTGATCTAGGATACGGCGTGGCAACCCTGCTCCTTATTTGGCTAGACCCCCCAGAGCAATATCCTTCCTGTACACCATGTCTTCGAATGACACGCAGTCGACACCCATATATGCCTTGCGACGTGCCTCTTCAAGCGTATCACCGTAAGCAGCAACCGAAAAGACACGCCCTCCCGCGGTCTTCAACAAACCGTCCTCCTTACGGGTCCCAGCGTGAAAGATAACCACCCCCTCAGGTGGAGAACTCAATGTAGCAGCCTTTCCAGTCTTGCAGTCCCCTGGGTATCCGCCGGATGCAATGACAACATTGCATGCAAAACCTGGCTTAAGCTTGATGCTGTTTTTCACTTGTGCGAGTGTCCCATTTGTACATGACAGCATGACACTCGCGAGATCGGTGTCTTCGTGAATAAGAAGCATCGAGCTTTGGGTTTCCGGGTCGCCGAAGCGAACGTTGTACTCGATGACTTTAGGGCCCGATTTGGTGACCATGACTCCAGTGAACAGAAGGCCGCAGAAAGGACGGCCTGGTTGGATTATTAGCGCCGAATTGAAACGAAACATGATGGGCGACTCACCTTCCTTTGCAAGAGCATCGAATGTGGGTTTCAAGATGACTTCATCAATCTTCTGTAAGACTTCTGGGGTTACCATGGGCACAGGTGAATAAACCCCCATGCCCCCAGTGTTGGGTCCCTTGTTTCCCTCTAGAATGCGCTTATGGTCTTGCCCAGCCGGAAGAGAAAAGAAGGTCTTGCCGTCGCTAAAGGTCAAGATGCTAATCTCGTACCCATCCATGTACTCTTCGATTACCACTGAAGAGCCTGCCGTAGAAAATTTGCCGTCGCTCATGATGCTGCGAAGATCTTCCAGTGCTTCTTCTGGTGTTTCAGGGAGAACTACGCCCTTCCCTGCGGCGAGGCCGTCTGCCTTGATGACGATACGATGGCTCTTGTCGGTGAAAACACGGCGCACGTACGTACTGGCAGCCTCGACGTTGTCAAAACTCCCGTGGTGGGCAGTCGGGATGCCAAACCTATTCATGAACTCCTTCGCAAAGACTTTGGAGCCCTCAAGTTCTGCGGCCTCGCGCGAAGGTGCGAAGCAAGGCACGCCAACTAAAAAAAAAAGGGATTGTCAGTCGACGTTACCGGATAGAGGTCGATAGCTGCTCCTGACCTTTGCGAAAGGACTCTTCGATACCATTCACCACGTCGTCATCAGGACCAACAACTACCAAACCTATACCGATATCCTCGGCGCGTTTCGCCAAATCGTGATATTCCGAGCTGCTGGCGCCTTCAAAAGTGGAAATCCCGGCTGTGCCGTTGCTGGCTGCAACCTCATGTGTGCCGGCATTTCCAGGGAATACAAAAACATGTTTGACTGATCTGGCTCGACTCAGCTGCCAGGCCAATGCATGCTCTCGGGCACCTTTCCCGATAACGAGCACCTGAAGGGCTCTTTCAGTCATTGGTTAATGAGACGAGGCTGTGGTCTGTGACCAAAGTAATGCGTCACTCGATGGTACGCGAGTGGGTGGGATCAGGCTGCAGAAAGAGAGGGCAGGTAGGGGAAGATGTAAAAGAGAGGCGCAAGGAGGAAGAGGACGTGATGTGGGGATGTGCTGAGGGTGGTGTGAAAATGCTCAATACCTTCAGGGCCCCCTCAAGGTTGACCTGTGCATATGAGAACTTAGATGACCCCTACTGCCTACCTTCCCACCTACCAATAAAATTGTCTATAAGAAAAAAACTAACATACAGGGCGTATTGTGCGCTGATAAGATCTGCTTTCGCAAGCACCACCTAGGTAGGGCAGCCGTTTGCGTAAGGTACCAACAATACGCAGCCTCAAAAAGTTAAATTTATATTTCGTTTGTCTAGCCTCAGTTTGACATCTTAGAAACTTTGTATATTTTATGAAAGGTACACAAACCTTTGAGGAATGGAAATTCTTCTGCGTATCCGTATGTCATATTTTCTTGTCAAAACTTCCATTGTCACGGTATTCAATACCTTGGTGTTTGACAAGGTACTAACGTACGTACTTATCTTCGACTTTTCTCTTCATTCATACAAGCCATCTGCTCCGTCTCCGTTACAAGACTTTGTCTGTTTCAGTACCTATGTCAGTCCGAAACTCCATTCCTTCAAACTTTACCGCTTCCATGCCAGAATATGCCCTCTGAGCTGCAGCATCGAGGTTACTACCAATGCCACATACACTTAATACTCGACCACCTCGTGCTTGCACAACGGGCCGGCTTGGCTGTACATTTGGATGAAATGTGTGGCTGTGGTATATGATCGTATCTTTGTTGCAGTTAATTGCAATATCTAAATAGTCAGTAAATTTTAACGACATACCTTTCCGAGTTGGCGTAGTCAGATCGACATGGAGAGGCTGGGTGTCTGACTCAAGTGGATATTTCTTTGTTACGGCAACAACAACTGCCGCAAACCTGTCTTCTTGAAAGAGGAGTGAGCTGAGGGATATCTGGTCTCTATAACATTGTGCCAAAACCTTCGCTAGATCCAGGTCAGGCTGTATCAGTGGCATTAAAGCCTGTGTTTCGGGGTCACCCAGTCTTAGGTCATACTCAATGGCAATCGGTCCCTCGTGAGTTAAAATTACACCAATAGCAATGAATCCACGGAAGTTAAGTCCTATGGATGAGTGTAGCTTAATATTTGTAATTGAGTGATCATGATGAATACGTACCTTCCTTACCCAAGCCTGCAATTGTGCGCGCCATAAAACCTTGCGTCAAAGCTTGAAACATGGACTCAGTACACCTGAGCGTAGGGTATACGCAGCCCATACCCCCAGTCATCGGGCCTTGATTGTTTTCTTTGCGTGTCTTGAAGTCTAGGTAGGGAGGAAACATGGTGAAATTTCGGCCATCCGTAAGCGCCATGATAGTGAACTCGAGACCCTCCAGGAATTCTTCAACAAGTATATCAAATTCTGGCTGACGAGATGAACCAGATGGTTCTCCGCCAAACTCAGCGACCAATGTTTGTTTTGCCTCTTCAAGCGTTTCGGCAACGAAGACACCTTGCCTGGCCCCGATGCCTGGATGTTTGAGGACTACCTTTCTCCTCCCATAGGCCAATTGATCCTCGATAAAATGAAGAGACTCTTCGTAACACGAAAAATGGCCATAAGTGGCCGTTGGGATGTTGTTTTTGGTCATAAACCGCTTTGCGAAGACCTTCGAGGTTTCAAGCAGCGACGCTTTCTTCGGCGGCCCAATGCATGGTATTCCCTCTGTGAACGGGTTAGCCATACCACTGAATAAGGAAGTAGGATTGTTTTGACTGTTAGATGGTTATGCAATCCGGGAATAGTATTACCCTGAGAGAACAAGTCCACGGCCCCTGCTGCTAGGTCTGCTTCTTTGGTGAAGATAGCCAAGTTGATGTTGTGACTCTTGGAGACACTGAGAGATTGTTCAAGTGACTCGTATTCGCAGTTTTTTGTCTTGATAAGTTCCTCTGTCGCTGCATTTCCTGGACATACTACGATAAGCTCAACAAGAGAGGACTGGCAGAGTTTCCACGCAAGAGCGTGCTCTCTGCCGCCAGAGCCCAACAAGAAAATGCGCAAGGACTCAGGAGACATGTGTAGCCTGGTTTGTGTAGGTATGATTTTTCAAAATGTGGTTGTTACAGATTTTAAGAAAGAGTATTAAAGTTGCAACAGAGGGCCAAAGAAATGCCACGAGAACCGAAAGGACCAAGGATCTCTTGAGAAGGTCAACGCTTAACCATCCAGCCAATTTCAATACTCCCCTTCAGTGCCCGTTTACCAGCCTATGAAACGTTTCAGCACTGATATTACCTCCGCTGAGTATCACGCCAATTTTCGTGGCCGTGGTAGCATTGCGAATTGCCACTTGACGTTGTGCGACCTCAAAACATGCGGCCATCGCAACTGCGGAACTTGGCTCAACAATGCCACCGAATTCACCATGATAAAGTGACATTGCCTTGCGTATTTGCGCCTCCGTAACGACAACGGAATCTTGGAGATTTGTTTGGTCGCGCAGAATTGCCCAGCTCTTTGGGCTGAGTGTTGTCCGCTGCCCATCTGCGATCGTCATTCCCATAGCCTTTTGTTTTGGCAATATTACACCAGCTTCCAAACTTGCATGAAGCCTTGGGCCATCTAATTGGGGTTCGGCGCCCCAGACCTGAGTTGGCATGCCTCGAAACCAAGCTGCACAACCGGATAAAAGACTCCCTCCACCACACGGTACAACGATTGCATCGAGCTCGCCAAGGTGGGCGGCTGCAACTTGATCCTGGAATTCCACAGCAGCTGTTGCCTGGCCCAATATTATGTCCGAATCGTTGGCCGGTGGAACAAATGTTCTTCTCATACTTCTGCAAGTCTCTATTGCTTCCTTTGCGCACCAGTCCAGTCCATCTCCCTGAACGACAATTGTGGCAGGAGAGGTGCAGTAGGATTTTATTGCGGAAATTTTGTCATTTGAAGCTGATGAAGGGACATAGATCTGGATTGGTATGGTCTGTCCACGGACTTTGGACATCTGTTCTGTAGCCATCAGGAGGGCCAGGGCATGGTTTCCTGATCCCAAGTATCATTTTAGTACACGTCCATTGAAATATAACCAAGTGTGTCTGGGCTATTTCATCTACATACCAGTGCTATATGTCACCAAACCACGGTCCAATTGCTCGGGGCTCAATTGAAGCAGTTTGTTCAAAGCCCCCCGGTATTTAAAGGAGCCGGAGAACTGAAGGTTCTCGCACTTCAGGATAATCGTAGCACCTGCTAGGTGATTGCATGTTCTTGAAACCACTTTGGCTAGCTCGTGTGAAGTGACACAAGGTGTCTTACGAGTCAAATAGCGTATCCTCTCATATGTTGACGATATGTTCATCCGTGAATAGAAAGACATGCTGAAGCAAAATGATGTATATGGTATACCAGCCTCACATATGATGCTTAAAGAAGAGATCCAGTAGATATTTTTCTTGTTGAGCTGAGAAGAATTCCAGGGCCTCTCAGACATATCAGACCATAAAGTACTTGGGCATCAGGAAACCTTTGGTGACAGCACGATCACTATTTCGTAGAGGTGGACTCGTGTAACCACCACCGTTCTCTATAGGTAGGTCGTGAAACAGCCACCGTTCGCTCATGTAACCTCGGCGTAGGCTTATAGCCTGATATTTCCATGCAATTGTAAATTCGACAGAGCCATGGCACCCATCGAATCCCAGACGGGTGTAATGAATGCGACGTGGCAGCTGATGCAAGTAGCGCATGTATCGAAACGCGCTCGCCGAGAGGTTCTGGGCAATATTGGAGCATTTCCAGTGATTGTGCGAACGGCTGCTGGTCTTTATAGCCGTTGACAGGTGCCGAAGTGATTTTTGGAGAGTATGAGGCATGGGTTCTTCCTCGACCTCAGTACACGACAGAGTACAAATAAACCTTTTGACGAAAACCGGCGTCGGAGCGCTCAATCCCACCCAATACTGCTACCACATTCATAACCCATCATGGGCTTCTTCCAAGCTAGCAAAATTCGCGTACTGTTGATTGGTGGGGGAGGGAGAGAGCATGCAGTCGCCTGGTCACTGAGCAAATCCCCTAAGGTCGAGTTAATCATTTGTGCTCCTGGCAATGGCGGCACGGCTCGCGGATCAACCAAGATTATGAACTGCGGCCCTGATATAAAGGCTACGGATCTCACAGGGCTGTTAGTGGTTGCTCAAACCCATCGTGTGGATCTGGTTGTTCCATGTTCTGACTCTTCTATCATCTCTGGAGCCGTGGATTTCTTTGAAACTCGGGGATTCCGAGTTTTTGGACCTTCCAAGAAAGCTGCGAAGATCGAAGGTTCCAAAAGCTGGGCGAAAGCTTTTATGCAACGCCATAAGATACCTACTGCAAAGTACCAAAGCTTCTCATCACCTTCTGAAGCCATCTCATTTCTGCAAAGCCAGCCAACAAGCAGACATGTTGTGAAAGCATCAGGTTTGGCAGCAGGAAAGGGTGTATTTCTTTGCCAAACAAATGAAGAAGCAGAAGATGCCGTCAAAAAGATCATGGTTGAGCGTGCTTTTGGCGAGGCTGGGGAGGAAATTGTCATTGAGGAGTTCCTGGTCGGTCGTGAATTGAGTGTCACCATAATTACTGACGGAAAAGTATGGAGGCTTTTCCCGGTCGGACAAGATGCCCAGAGAATATATGATGGAAATCTTGGACCCAATACAGGTGGTATGGGAGTTTGTATCCCATCTGATCTTTTCACTGTCGACGAAATTCAAGAAATCCAACAGACGATCCTGGAGCCCACCATCCGAGGGCTCGAGAATGAAGGCAAGGCGACTCCTTATTCGTTCCCCATAATTGTCGTACTAACTAACTCCAGATCATAAGTTTGTTGGGTTCATCTGCACTGGAATAATGCAGACTGTCAATGGTCCGAAGCTCTTGGAATATAACGCGCGGTTTGGTGACCCCGAGGCACAAGCCTTATTTCCGCTCCTGGACGATGCCTCAGATCTTGCAGACATCATGATAGCATGTACCGAGGCGCAGCTGGAGCGAGTACACATGGAGTTCCAGCAAAAGGCCGCTGTTTCGCTGGTAGTGGCCTCTAGTGGATATCCGGGGGCTTATCGAGTAGGCGAGATCATCGATTTTGGAGCGTTGCCGCAAGGTAAGAAGTTGAGCCCTTGGTTCCCAGGATATTCTCTGACCAAGCGTTCTCATAGATGTGTTGGTCTTCCATGCAGGCACTTCGTGGGCAGAGGACCGCCTCGTGACTCAAGGTGGGAGGGTTTTGGCGGTGGTTTGCATAGCTTTTTCCACGGAGGAAGCCATCAAAGGAGCTTACAAAGGCGCCCAGGAGATCAATTTCAAAGGGAAATACCTAAGGACGGACATCGGTCAAATTCTCTCTTCATGGTAAAGGTCTGCAATTGGACTTATAGTGGCCCATAAGGAGAAAGCTGGATCTCCTACATGCCAGACTGAATGGTAATGTTTTCAGACTCACTCACATACTTTCACTTGAATCGGCTACTAGAGAGCCATATTGTCATAGGCCTCTATGATCATTCAGCCTTCTTTCCCTTGTACTAAGAGCTTTTCTGTTTGGGTTAGAGTGTGTATCGGATGAAATGATAGATCTCAACGTCCGGATACCACTGACAAATGACCATAAACTCCAGGTCGTTATCTTACTTAACTTCGGAATTGTGCTATGAGAATGCCGACGTCGCGATTGTATTTCCGATACGTGATCGGTGTTAAGCAAGATGGCGTGGAGCTTGATCACCAATTGCTTGTCGCCCAACGAAGTGAAACGGGAATAAAGAGGCATAAGTCCGTGATGTCGACACTATAAGACAGATTATCAGCGCAGATCAATTAAACAATTAACAAGCCGAGATCTATTGCTTGCACATAATTAAGATTTAATCGTATCAACAATCAGATCAAGATGACGACTCCAGTTTGGTTTATTACCGGAAGCTCTAACGGCCTTGGTCTGCTTCTCAGCCTGCGAGTCTTGAAAGCAGGAAACAGAGTCATTGCAACTGTCCGAGACACGACAAGATCGGCAGATGCTGTCCGCCAAATCGAAGAAGCGGGCGGAAAGATCGTCACCATTGACCTGACCGAATCCAAGGCTAGCATTACCAAGAAAGTCCAAGATGCAGAGAAGATTTATGGGAGGATCGACTTTCTGGTGAATAACGCTGGATATTCCGTCTTGGGAGGCATTGAGCTCTTTACGTGAGTCAGCCCTGTATTATGCAAATGATTGAACACACACTAACACCGCGATAAGAGAGGCTGAGGCCGAACATCAAATCCAGACAAATTTATTTGGTCCTCTATATACCATTCAAGCTGCCCTCCCCGGAATGAGAAGCCGAGGCTCAGGAACCATCATCAACATTAGCAGTATTGCTGGTCAAGATGCTCAACCCAGCTGCGGACTCTACAGTGCCAGCAAGTTTGCTCTCGAAGGTCTAAGCGAGAGTTTGTCCAAGGAGGTCAAAGAGTTCGGTATTAACGTTCTGCTGGTTGAGCCTGGTGCTTTCCGTACAAATTTCCTTGACACCAGCATCAAGAGCAATGTTTCTGGCGAATCGGCATACCAAGGAACTCTGTTGGAAGCAACACTCCAGAAGTTTGAGAAGGCAACTGGAAAGCAACCTGGAGATCCCAATAAGGCAGTGGACATCATCTTTGAGGTGGCTACTGGCGAGGGAGCGGCAGGTCACTTGAAGGGAAAGATTCTGAGATTGCCCCTGGGCAAAGATTGCTTTGCTCGTCTGAAGACGAAGCTTGAGTTTCTTCAGCATGATATTGAAGCAACACGAGAGATTGGTGTCACAACTGACCTAGACGAGAAATAGACTAGCATAGCTCAGATCACGAGGTACATAGTAGTTAACCAAGATGCTACAAAAAGGACTACTGTATGTTTATCACTACTACAAACCGTCAATAGTTTGCTAAAGTCCCGTTTGAGTAGCCCAAGATACGCATAAAGAAAGACAGTAAATCCATATCCATCAGCATATCCGCCCGAGTCACAATGAAGATGGCCTGACTTGATTCCATGCACAAAGAACCCTTTGTCATGATGAAAGCAATTTTCATTCAGACCTCAATTGTTCATTGAGTCACTGGCTTGTCAAAAGTAAGTAAGCAAGCAAACAAACAAGTACAAAGACTAATTTACAGACTGGTATTGTGGAACGAGGCAAGTGTCAAGTAAAGCCATGGTATCTTTGTTCGGGAATAGCAACAATGGGCCTAACAAGGCCAAAATGTTAGTCCTAGACATATGTATAAACTTAACACTTGAAATCATGCCTTACGAAAGGATTAACTGAACAGTGTAGCTACATAATTGTGTATGCGACTGAACGAGCTTATAAGGCAAGGGAACGAACCATGGTTTTCCACTGCATACTAACCCAACGCACTCAATACGACTATTTCAGTTACTACTCATTCGACATATTAAATTGCTCTCCTTCATAAGGAATCATGTATCCCGAGAGGCCACAGTCTGACGCAGACTTGGTTCCGCTTCCACAGTGCGATGGCCCCAAGTTGAAAGCTTTCGACTTCCAAGGCCCCCAGCAGATCGAGTTCTTAGACTACCTAGGGTCGGGAACACATGCTATTGTGTTCAAAGTCAATATAAGAGGTCAGATCTATGCTCTCAAACTTGTGAGTATCATATCAAATGGACAGAGTACAGCCAAAGACTAACAAGGGACAGTTCAGGTTCACGAGCGACGAAAGCTGGGTCTCTCCAGCAGACGAGGCCAGCCAGGATGATCTCGAGGCACTCAGCGCCTTTTACCCATATTCTGAGCCTTTCAGCTGCGAATGTCGTGCTTTTGGCCGGCTCCAGGAGGCCGGTCACGAAGAACTGGCTACCAAGTGTTACGGCTATGTTCTGTTGGATGATGCGCACGAGAACGCCATGATGAATAAGTTCGCCCATGTCCCCGCCCACAAACTCAACTTCAATTATGATGGTTATCACGATGATGATGAAGATGATTATTATAATGACCCCAATCTTCGAGATATGAGGTCTCGTTTTCTTTGCAGCGACGGTAGCCTCCCGCCACTTCGAGGTATCGTTAAGGAGTTTGGACAGAGCGAGGAGGACTTGGATAACAAAGGCGCCAAAAGGCTCCTTAGAGACATCAAACACATACAACAACTTGGAATTACGGCCCTAGATATTGCATGCAGGCAGATCATCAGTGGTAAGCTGTCCGATTTCAGCACAGCCGTCACGGTTCCTCACTTTGTCAGCAACCCAGAGTGGAATCCACATCTCACACCAGATTGGAAATCAGATCTGGAGCTTGAACTTTTCACCCTCTGCTACATGGACTATCGAAGTTTTGATCTAATAGTGCACGACTGGAACGAGGAGCACAAGGATGAAAAGAAGAAGCAAGTCAAGGTTAGAGCGCTGCCGGAAGGATGGCCTCCTGAGCGTAGGCGGTTGAGAAACACTCCGGCTCGTGAACGCCTCTATACCTATGTTGATCCGAGGAACTACAAGAAGTATCTTCCAGTCACTGACAGAAGAGGAAGGATTGTCAAGAGAAAGGAAGCTCTTCGAAGGAAGCCATCCCTGTGGTACATTGAATGTGAAGCCGCCCCAGCACGCAGACTCAAGGAACTTGAAGAAATTGACGGCGGCATTCATTGGCAGTACCAAAACGGACATATCGCGCCTTTGGAACGGGAATAGGGCTCATTTAACCAGATACTTATGAGGAAGAAGTTAAAAGCCAACCGGCCGAGACTTCGTTGGAAGGAAAACGGTATCACTAGAATCATAGACTTGTTTATTATTTATTTAGCACACAGCAGGTTATCCCAATAGAGGTATTAGAAACAGGACTTTAGCTGTAAAGGGGATGTGTCAGTCTCCTAAGTGTGTCATCATAAACGTTTCGCTCCCAGTTCCTTAAGGTCTATGTTCCAATTGTTAAAAACGACATGAACGGGGGAAGCGCAGTATCTCAACACAGTTTTTAGTGTTGAGGGTAATATCCGGGTATACAATTGGGGTATTTGGTCGGTTCAAGCAAAGAGCTCGATGTCTCACGATCTTAACATCAGGCCTGTGGTGGACTGAGCAGCTTGATGGACGCTTGGTCACTGCCGTTCGCATTATTTCTGTGCCGTATCTTCAGGGGGAGAGTAAGATTGAATCTGTAGAAGTTAGCACCATATTCTTCCCAGTCAATATCGAGCCATACCCGGTCAGCCATCTGAAGCCACTCCTCCATACTGCGGACATAAGGGTCTGCACTGGCATCTGCCACCGTCTCGTGTCCCCAAACAACCATTTCATCAAACTCGGCAGTTATTTTCATGCTTCCGATTTGTTCTGGCTCTTGGTCGGCATCGAGATCCTCCACCACTTCCTCGTGGGCACTTTTGGGGTCTTTGTCGGGAGCTCGTTCGACAATGACACCTCGGCATTGTTCTGGTATTTTGACCACTTTTCCTTGAAGTTTTCTACCTCGGAAGTATGCTAGTTTCGTACCATCTTATCAGATTGTCAGTAAACTTCTGACAACAAGATTGGTATTCAGGTACACAAACCATCGGCAGTAGTAGGGGTCCAATATGTCGACGCCGGGTCAATCGGCCCATCATGGTGTATGCGGCATGGCAGAAGATTGGCCACAGCTTTGGATTTGTTCTCGTCGGGTGTTAATGAGAGTATTGGTTGCGACATTATGGTAGTGTTGATTTGTTCGTTGTCAAGAGAAGGAGACGCGTCGAGACGCGTAAAGAGGTCCAAGGTGACGGGGCTTATCTTATCTCATGATGCAATTAGCCAAAATGGGTCCAGAATCTTGGTAGGGTGGGGAGCCTAGGGGAGGCAAGAAAACTTAGGAACCAGATCCTAAGCGACAAAAAGGATTTAGGTAACCTAGCCTAAGTTTAGGGGGCTCTTTACTAAATTTATTTTGGCATCACATTTTAAAGTCTAAAGATTTCTTGCTCCGCGGGGGGAGCATATTTGTACTACAGCATGAACCCAAGTTACGACATTACTATCGGAACTCTATTCTCCGATGATTGATACTGACTTACGAACTCAGGGCGTATTCGATGAACCATGGTTGTCCGAAAATACAAGTTCTTGCTATATGGGTATCTCAATGAAACTTTATGAGGATGTGCTTGTTTATATCACTCCATCACTTTCTTTTCTTTTTCGACTTGGTGCCTTTCTGGCCACCTGATGCTGGTTTCGGCGCATATCGATTTGCATGATCAACGTCAAACGCCTGCTTGTGCTTGCGAAACAATAACATGGTCGCTCGCGCATCCTCAATACTAGAATGTGCGCCTCCCTGTATCTCAACGCCCAGAATCTGCTGAGCGAGAACTCGTAGTGCTGGCTTTCTTCCATTGCCATATTTCTTGAAACCTGGGAATTTGGCGGTGTCGCGAATGTCTTTTCCAGGATGGCTGAGAATGAGTGCTTCTAGATCGTGCTTGAGATCATGCCCAATCAATATTCGGCTTTGGAGAAGCTTGTCGACGTCTGCCTGAACTTCCTCAAATTCCCTAGCAAATCTCATTTTCTTTTGGTCAATCCCACTGACCGCTGTTCTCCAGTTTGTGACCTTCTCCTTAGGTTTCACATAAGAGTCGTAAATCTGCACGCCATGAAAATCGACAATGCTCACACGAGCGAGAGCTGATTCATGGCCGCCTGGTCCCACGCCCACCATCTCGCAATCGATAGCGATGTACTTTCCGACCTCAATCCCTTCTGTGAGTCCATGATTGATTTTGTCCTTTACGGAGGCGAGCATCATTGAATTGTCCTTCACGCCCAGACTGTATGCCTCTGCTAGGGCTTCTGCAGACACATCATTGTCTTCCGCCCATAGTGCAAGGGATGTTGAGGTCCCAGGTACTGACTCCTCGATTTTTGAACTGTGAACACCACCCATTGGCTTTTTGGCTGTTGTTTGAGCTTCTTTTGCTGGTCTTCTTTGCGGCTTTGGGAGGGACGTTTGCACCTTGGACTTTTTAGGTGGTGGATTCGTTGTTAAGGTCTCTGATTTGCGCTTGAGAGATGGCTTTGACGCAGACTCTTCCTTGAGTTTTGCCTGGAGCTTCTTCCAGTTGGAAGAAAGCGCCGCCATCTTCTTAAAAGAAGATAATACCCGACATAAAATCTCCAGAAGAAAAATTGAAGTGTGTACAAGTCGCAAAAAGAGCACGAGATGGAACGGCTTGCTGACTGATGAGTCTAACGAGATCTATGCATCTAGCGAAGAATCGATAAGCAATCGTCACTTCACCGCCTTGCTGATAAGGACTCCGACTCATTTTCTGCCATGCCCCTCCAAGACTATTTCCTTCCGCTTTCTATCTTGCGACACAAATCCGCCAACGCGACGATCATCAAATATCATCCAACCATTCTATTCCCATCATGGCTGGAGGTACACCTAGCGGCGAGCCCACCGTAGGCTCAGGTGAGCCGCGACTCAAAAGCCTTGCGACCCCAGAAACAATAACGACAGGCTGTATTGCCTGGGTCGAAAAGGAAGGCCAGCCACGACGCGCCGAGATCCTCAGCATCAAGACGACCAAAAGCGGCAAACAATTTTACTGCAACTTCGATAACTTCAATAAACGATTAGATGAATGGGTTCCTGTTATTAGGCTGGACTTTACTCGAGAGGTCGAGTGGCCAAACCCAGAAAAGGACAAACCCAAGGACCCCAAAACTAAGAAAGCGCCCACTGCGCAATCCAAGAAGACACAACCTTCTAAGAAGTCACAAAAGAGGCCCGGGAAGCGGGAGCAATCAGTCGCTTCAGAGGCAAATACCCCACATCCATGGACTGGTAGGTCTTTCAGTTCCTATTACTTAACGTCACAGCTGATGTCCTTCTTGACTTTGTAGAATCCCAAAGTCGTCAGAAGTCTGCCTCGATCGGACCCGATGGGGAAAGCCAAGCACGCGCCAGCGTTGATGGCGCAACACCTGCTGGAGGCGACGACATGGATGTAGATGAGAAGGAAACCGAAGTAAAGAGGGAACCAGCAGGATTCAGCCGTGAAGTCGAGATCGAGAAGCTCCGCACATCCGGCTCGATGACACAGAACCCGACCGAAGTATCACGAATTCGAAATATCTCCAAGGTACAATTTGGGCGTTTCGACCTTTACCCCTGGTACTTTTCACCATATCCTGAGATCTTCAGTCAGGAGGATGTGATTTTCATTTGCGAATTCTGTTTGAGTTATTATGGAGATGAGAAGGCTTTTACAAGACATCGACGAAAGTGCACACTACAACATCCACCTGGAAACGAGCTTTACCGGAACGAGGATATATCGTTCTTCGAAATCGATGGTCGACGACAACGAACGTGGTGCCGTAATCTCTGCCTGCTGTCCAAGATGTTTCTTGACCACAAGACATTGTACTATGACGTGGATCCCTTCTTGTTCTATGTCATGACTACGCGAACCGAAAAAGGATGTCACTTGGTGGGATATTTCTCTAAGGAAAAGGAGAGTGCGGACGGATACAACGTTGCCTGTATTCTGACCATGCCGCAATATCAACGCAAAGGTTACGGTCGACTTCTAATTCAGTTCTCGTATGAGCTCTCTCGCATCGAAGGAAAGCTTGGCTCTCCAGAAAAGCCATTGTCGGATTTGGGTCTGCTAAGTTACCGGCAGTATTGGTCAGAGAACATTTTGGAGCTGCTTATGGGGTATAACGAGCGCGAGGAGAAGGTCACGATCGAGGCAATCTCTGCAGCGCTGGCTATGACAACACAGGATGTGGAACACACTTTGCAAGCTCTCAGGATGCAGGTATACCACAAGAGCGACCACAAGATTGTGATTCCGGAGAAGTTGATCCAGCAACGGGAGAAGACTAAGTTGAAGAGGAAACGAACAGTGGATCCAACCAAGATTCAATGGAAGCCTCCAGTGTTTACAGCTTCAAGCCGAACATGGGGTTGGTAATTATAGACATGAAGTAGAGATAACAAGCGATGTATGTATAAATAGCTTTAAATGATACCCCTGTTCCATTAAAATCGTCGATATTGACGCCAGTAATTCGGCTGCGTGAGCCATGATACATGCTATAGTTAGCTGATGGTTACCCCAACTTTGACCAGCCCCACGCTGGAGCTCTGGCCGAGCTTGTGTCGCCCTACGTAATCGGAGGGATAATAATGCGACAGTTGTAACACAACTCTGACAACTTCCATTCTCATCTTGACTTTGACCTTTGACGTCCAATTGACACCGACCTAAGCTCCAATAAATTGCTATGTTTCCATCCTAATATTACCTCTCCTAAGCCAGCAGCATACCTATCTCCCAAACTCCCATCATGTCACTTCGCCTGCTGGCATCAAGCTTGCTTGGCTTGAGCGCAACCCTCATCAGCGCAAGTCCAGATGACGAACAGAGACCTCTTGGCGACTACCACCGTATATGTCCCGACTATACACGATATGCAGCATACCCTCAGTATGTTATTCTGATTGCGCAACAATACGTTAAACCTTTCTGACATCACCTTTGCACAGCCGACCTTTCAGTACTGGCCCTCGAGAACTCCCCTACCAAAGACCAAGCACGAAATGCCGGACATTTCAATCAGACGCTATCGAAAAGGTCATTGAAGATGTGACGTCGCGCATGAAAGACCCCGATCTCGCACGACTCTTCGAAAACGCGTTCCCTTCGACGACCGATACGACCGTCAAGTTCCATACGAAAGGCAAAGAAGATACAGGCTTCTTCCGCATGGGAAGCTTTGGGGGTTTCCACGACGAGGGAGCTTGGCAGGGACCGCAATCTTTCATCATAACTGGTGACATTATCGCGGAATGGTTACGCGACTCAACAAACCAGTTGCGCCCTTACCAGCCGCTTGCGAAGAAGGATCCTGCCATTCACACATTATTGCTCGGTGCCATCAACACTCAGGCCGAATATGTGATCGAGTCCCCATACTGTAACGCCTTTCAGCCTCCGCCTATCAGCGACTTACCTCTCTCATCTAATGGGCAAGAAGACAACGTACACCCAGCATATGAACCACAAGCGGTTTTCGAATGCAAGTACGAGCTAGATTCTCTAGCACATTTCCTCGCTCTTGGCAACGACTTCCACGATCATACAGGCTCGACCGAGTTTCTAACCAAGAGATGGTACCGCGCTGTTGAAACCCTCCTGAACGTGCTGACTGAGCAATCGAAGTCAACGTTCGACCCCAAAACTGGCGAATTTCAGCGCAACGAGTACACTTTCTCGCGGCGCACCGACATTGGAACTGAAACACTCAACTTGAAGGGCGTTGGCAATCCTCTAAACTGGGGAACAGGCCTGGTTCGATCAGCCTTCCGACCCAGCGACGATGCAACAATTCTCGGTTTCTTCATCCCTGCTAATGCGCAAATGTCTGTCGAACTGAAGCGGGCATCCAAGATTCTTGCGGCGGCGGGTAAAACAACGCTGGCTCAAAAGTTAGAAACTTGGAGTGCAAAACTCCGCGAAGGCATCATGGAGCATGGCGTGGTCAAGCACAAGAAATATGGGGATGTGTTTGCATACGAAGTAGATGGATATGGCTCGTCGATCCTAATGGACGACGCCAATTATCCTTCATTACTGGCTCTTCCTCTAATGGGATTCTGTGAAGTCAACGATCCTATTTACCAGAACACAAGGAAAATGTTGTTGGAAAAGAGTGGAAATCCTTACTATCTTGAAGGAAATGCATTCAAGGGTATTGGAGGTGAGATGTCTCATACATGCACGATTGTTGCCGCCACTGACAGTTTACAGGACCTCATATAGGGCTACGAAACGCCTGGCCGATGAGTCTTCTCATTCAGGCTCGAACCTCTAATGATGACAAAGAGATCAAAGAATGCATTGAACTTGTGCTCGACTCTGCCAAGCTGGGCTTGGTCCACGAGAGTATTGATGTTCAGCACATCACTCAATACACGAGAAGTTGGTTTGCTTGGGCAAATGGTGTATTTGCATCAACGATCTTGGATTTGGCCAAGAGGAAACCACACTTGATCTTTGGCGAGGGTGCTGCAGCGTATGAGATATGATTGACGAGAAAGCTGGAGCATATCGTTGTTGTGACAAGAACAGGTAGTTCAATAATGAAATGGTTTATGGTTCCGGTCATGCCTTGAATAGAGGGAATTGTCGTGATCTTTCACTCAAGAATGGGCATTAACTTACATTGGTATTCGAGTGCAAGCCGAGCCACTGATATCAGATCTCCTTAGCCCAGATTTCGAGCTAATGGACTGGCTGCATTGATACGAAAAGCATTAGAGCAAGTACTGTAAGAGAAGGCCCACCGTTATCCGTCTCTACCCCTCGCCATTTTGGGCAAGTTAGCCGTCTGAACCATTGACAATCGTCTTCGTCTCCATGAATATCCTCCAACCGGTCCGACATCGCTCAATTGGGCTCGCTGTTGACATTTGCCGGTATAGAAGTTGTGTGATACATAAAGGAGAGCGGCACCGATATTACTGGACGTTGAGTTGTAATTCTTCTTTGCTTTCTAATAACACTGCAGCTTCCCCTCTATGTCGCAATCATAGCCACTGCCCCTCAACACCATCGCTGTCATCACCATCATACATCAACACAACCAAGATGACGACAAAACCAACCCACGCTTCTGAAGTCCCCTCCAATCCTCAGTCAGGGAAGCATCAAATAAACCTGATTCGCGGTTGGCCAAACCCAGATCTTCTGCCTGTTGATCTCCTCTCAGCTGCTGCTCAGCGCAATCTCTCAGACCCAGCTATATATATCCCCGCGCTACAATACGGTCCAGATTCCGGATATCAGCCACTGCGTGAGGCGTTGGCGACTTGGCTGTCGGAACACTATCGTGTTGAACGAGATCCGAATCGCATCTGTATCTCTGGCGGTGCAAGTCAGAACGTCGCTTGCATCCTCCAGAGCTTCACGGATCCTAATTTGACCCAGGCTGTTTGGTGCATTTCACCCTCGTACCACCTTGTCTTCCAGATTTTCCGCGACAACGGCTTTGAGGGACGGTTGAGGGCGACGCCAGAAGATGAGGAGGGCGTTGATATTGAAGCGTTGGAGGCTAAGCTAGCTGAGTTTGAGAAGCACGCCCCAGCAGCCAAGGTACGGCACTCGCGAGTTTTGTGAATAGTCCTTGAACTGACGCCAATTAGCCTCCTGTAAGTGATGCCGGGAAGTACCGTAAACATTATCGCCATGTTATCTACGCCGTTCCCACTTGTTCGAATCCTTCCGGCAAGACAATGTCTCTTCGCCGTCGAGAAGCCCTTGTTCGACTTGCGCGCAAGTATGATGCCCTCATCATCTGCGACGACGTGTATGATTTTCTCCAATGGCGCATCGATAGCGATCCCAGCAAAATCTCAAGCAGTTTGAGCGCCAATGAGCACCCGGAAATGCTACTCCCGCGCCTGTGTGACATTGACTTGGCCATGGGTCGTGCGGACAACGATCCTCATGGTTTTGGGCACGCTGTCAGTAACGGATCGTTCAGTAAGCTCACTGGCCCAGGAATGAGAACTGGTTGGCTTGAAGGATCTGCTGCTTTTGCATTTGGATTGGCACAGACGGGTGCAACAAAGTCTGGTGGTTCACCTAGTCAGTTTTCTGCATCTATCATGGCCGATCTGGTTCAGTCAGGAGCTCTTCAGGAGCGACTTGCTACTACGCTCAGGCCTCAACTCCAACATCGGCATCGGATCATGATGCAAGCTATACATAAGCATCTCGAGCCCCTCAATGTTGGCATCCGAGACGCTGGTCTTGTCGACGGCAGTGTTTATGGCGGTTACTTTGTGTGGCTCACATTGGATGAAGGTATCTCAGCCAAGCTTGTTTCAGAAGTCACGATGGCCGAGGAGAATTTAGTCGTGGGAAATGGAACTATGTTTCAAGTACCTGGTGATGAGGATTCTGTTTATTTGGACAACGCCGTACGGTTGACGTTCGCATATGTCCCTGAGAAGGACTTGGTAGAAGGTGTCGAGAGGTTATCAAGCGTGCTTCAGAGGATAAAGGCCGACCCCGAGAAGTACAAGACGCTTGCTAGCACAATGGCCAATAGCGATATTATAGATGCCAACAAATAATTAGAATATGTTTTCTGCAGTCGCTATCCTCCCCAACTCTTTTTAATAATCCTTCTAAATGCATCCTACTTCTTCGAAAAGAACGACATGATGTTGCCCTGTCCCTTCGGCGCCGACTTCTTTGATTTGGAGCCTGTGGATGATGATGGTGTAGGTGTAGGAGCAAGAGCTGCCTTTTTGGCCGGTGGGGGAGCCTCATCCTCTGAAAAGGATTCCCAGCCAGGTTCTTGGATGGTGACTTTTGGCAATTAGCATCATGGCCTGATAAGATCGTGGCGAGGGGGACTTACCCATATATCCTTGATCATCAAGGATTCGCTTCTTCTTCATCACGCGTCTCCTACCCCTCCTGCGCCCATCACCAGTGCTCGAGATCACTTCTGTAGGTCCGTTATCTTCCTTCTTGGCCTCGGGCTCTGGCTCAGGTTCTGGTGCTTCTTCCATCTCTTCGTCGGCTTGCTCAGACTCCTGTTCAGAATCTTCCTTCTCTCCTTCTTCTTCTTCGCCATCGTCTTCCATCATTTTTCGCAGTGCATCCTCACGTTCCTGGCGCTTTCGTTTGATATCGGCAGAGTCCACAGCGGGCTTTGACTTGGTTGCCACGATATCAGAGTCATCTGCCTCGCCGTCATCAGAGAGAGCCATAGCTGTGTCCTCTTCCTTCTTGGGGGCAGGTTTGGGTTTGGGTGGTCGTGCAGCCGCTTTTGCGAATGACTGCATAATACCTCCAGAAACTCCTCGCTTAAGAGATGGCGCTGGCTTCTTTCCACCACTTGGAGCAGGTGTTCCCTCCTTGGACAACGGAGCTGACGACTCCTGTTTAGCAGACTTAGTTTGCTTTGCCTCAGGCTTCGCCGTTGAGTTTTCTTGCTTGACCGTTGTCTTCGATGTTGGCTTTGATGCAGCAGGCTCTTGCTTGACGGTCTTGGAGGAAGTTGAAGCAGACGCTTGAGGCCGGATCATTCGTTCTCTCCTTCGAGCGTTCGGGTTGCTGATAACGCCATACTTCTTAGATGCGGCAGTGATGTCCCCGTTTGATGAATACTCCGAGAGTTGAGATGCAACATCTGACAGAATAGAAAGGTCTTTTTGGGGATGAGGTGCAAGACTGTAGACGTGGATCGAAACTACCTGCTCGTAAGCAGCTAGAATATCTACCAGACGAGTCAATTCAAGTCCATCTCATAAATCCCCTTGAATAGATGCTTACCATTTAGTTCTTCTTCCCGAGCCAGAGTCAGTGTGGAAGTTGGAACCTCATCTGAGAGAGATTCCTCGGGCGATGAGCCGGACATTTCAACATCGCCGTCAGATTCGTCTTTCTCTAGAGTTTTGGTGCCATAAATCAGGTATGTTGCATGAACAGAGTTGGCTTTCTGGGAATTTTGATAGTTATGAAAGTCATAAAGCATCCTATCGACTGTTAGAGTTCATTTCTGAGCATGTTGGAATTTTTGAGCTTACTCTTTGGCAGTGTTGACATGAACATCCAAGGCTCTACTCAAGACCCGATATGTGATCTTGACTCTATCAGTTGCTATACTGAGTGAATGTGACAAAAGGGTTGAAACAAACCGGTCGTTCTTCACTAAGCAGACGATCTGCTAGAAACTTTTTATGCTCGTCCATGTTGTTTTAGTTTTCAAAGTCTTGGAACTCGAGCCAAAGGTCAAGGCAAATAACACGAATTATGGTTAGTTACACGCGGTGAAACTCAATTGACAAAATCGCTGTCCCTCATCAAAGATCCATAGCTCCCTAGGAAACAGAAATAGGAAAGTACGCGTTGAGAGGACGCGACGTCACGTGGAGTGCTGTCAAAAAGCCAGCCGCTAACTGGCTAAAAGCATAAACGATATCTTATCGAAGCCTACACTAACTCAATCTGACCGTTTCAAGGGCGTTATTCTAGAATCGGGCTCTCTAATCACTGTCAGCGTCATCCTAGCGATCGCGTCTCCCGCGCGACCACTTTATTCTGGGTCTGGGATCTTTGCCCTAAATTTACGAAGTCCAACTGAGGGTATCAAGACCACCTCTACCTCAAATTGGTTTTCTTTGGACGTACTCGCCCCCTGATTCATATTGCTCATTCGTTTTAACATCCGTCTTCGCTTTTGCGCCCCCCATGGCCGATCATGATGTCCCCGACTCTACAGACTGGCTCACGACGCCGCTCACTGCCCTTGCCGCCGTCGAAAGCGCTTTGCGATGTCAAATATGCAAGGACTTTTACAAAACCCCTATGATCACCACCTGCTGCCATACCTTTTGTTCACTATGCATCCGACGGACTTTGTCCAATGAAGGAAAATGTCCACTGTGTCGCGCATCGGAGCAGGAGCTTAAGTTGCGGAGCAATTGGTCAATGGAAGAAGCCGTGCAAGCATTCATCAATGCCAGGCCAGCAACATTGGAGTTGGCGCGAAGCGGAAACACCAAGAAGACAACCTCGAAACGAAAAACAGTCGAAGATCATCCTGAGTCGGGGGATGCGCCAGACGGCAAGCGACTACGGTCATCCACGCGACTGCGAAACACCCGGTCGACCCCGTCTTATGCAATTCCTACCGAAGAGGAGGAGACTGTCGAACTTTCAGAGGACGATGAGGACTTTCAACCGGAGCCAGGTGAGTTCAGAAATGCCAAAGGCGCATGTTTCTATTCTAACAACCGCCAGAGGATGGCCTTGTCGCGTGCCCAGTTTGCGAAAGTCGAATGAAGGAATGGCAGGTTTTCAAACACCTCGAGACATGCACTGGACCTGTACAAAAGCCACGGGGAACTCCTGCAAGTAGCTCAAACCCCAGTTTCAGCCAACAGCGACATCAAACAAGAGCCCCGGACCGTCTACCTGCAATCAATTACTCCATGTTCAAGGACCAAGCTTTGCGAAAGAAGTTGTCCGATCTTGGTATTTCAAATCAGGGCCCTCGAATTCTCCTAGAGCGCCGACATAAAGAGTGGATGACAATATGGAATTCAAACTGCGACGCTGCGCGCCCAAGAAAACGCCATGAATTGTTACATGATTTGGATGTCTGGGAACGGACACAAGGAGGTCGGGCTCCAACAACAGGGCGATCCGTACAAAATGCAGCAATCATCAAAGACAAAGACTTTGACGGTGCAGCATGGGCAGCTAAACATGATACATCCTTCAAAGACCTGATTGCAGATGCAAAAAGGACTAGGCTTGAGGCCAAAAAGAAGGCTGAACAGGCGGCTAACGAGTCGAAAAAGGAAGACACAACACCACAAGAGAACAACGATCAAACGCAACAAACCCATTATGCTGACTGTCGGGCGGATTCAAGATCGGCTTTCCCGTCAAGGCCGGCTGAAGCAGTCCCATGGGGTGCGTCGCATTCCGATAGTCCGTCGCCTGAACGATCGCTTTCTCAATCTAAGCGTCACGGAGGAAGCAACAGGGATTTGAGCAGAGAGCCATCGGGCACCCGCAGGGACAGGTACTCGCCAAATCAAATACACAACAACCCCTGGCCTGAGAATTACAATGGCGACTCGTAAATCGGTCAAGAACGGCGTACTGATGGTTGGAATGAAGTATATAGAACGGCATGCATCGAGATACCACATAATGATATTAAAATGACACAACAAATGTGCCCTTCGTGTATAGATTCTAATGGACAATGACCCAATTGTACAATCTTAAACCCAAAACGCCAGGGATATCCTACTATATCATCATGTACACGTGTGAACCATTCGGCCTGCACTGAGCTTCGTTCTCTTCCCAGTCCGTTCGCCTGGCGTCTTCTATATCGCCAGATTCGCAATTCCAGTCTCGGATGTTGGTGTCTGCTCCTTCTGTCGGATCTCCTCACCATCAGCAGGTACATCGGGCAGCTCGTCGAGCTTCTTTTGCGCCTCGGCTGCCTCCTGTTCGTCGCGGGCTTTCTGTTCCTCAGCCTCCTTGCTCTTGGTCTTCTCCTCTTCCTTTTCGCGCTCTTGCGCCTCCATGGCCTCGAGCTCGTCGTCGAGCGCAGTTTCATCGATGACCTCGCCTGTCGATTCGGCCAGAATAGCGCTCACCTCGTCTGTCGCGCTGCTCTGCTCCCGTAGGCGATCCATCACTGCGTCGACGCGCTCGGCACCACCGACCTGTGCGTTGAGGCTTGCCAGCGCACCAGAAGAAGCCTCCATGACGTTGACAAGCTGTACGTTGTCAGCAGCCTGCTCGAGCTTGGCGGAAACTTCTTCTAATTGGTTCAGAGTCGCGTAGCGAGTAGCCAAGGATGTCTCTGCGATCTTTTTGGATTTGAGCGCCGCAAGAGCTGCAACGCGATTCTTCTTAGTGACGGCATCCTTGGCTGTTTGGGAGAGTTCGTCGATGCGTGTGTTAAGGAGGTCGGCTTGGTGCTTCAGACTTTCTGTGAGCTCCTTCAGGGATGCGATCGCGGCATCTTCCTTTGTGATACCGCCCTGCTCCCCAGAACCCTTAATCCTGATCGTTTTTCCATCATATTCAATGACTTCCTTGTCCCGCGACAGGAACTTCAATAGAACGTCTAGGTCCGAGTCCGTCAGATGTTGGCCTTGAACGAGAGCCGCAGAAAAGGCTTTTTGAAACTGCGCTCTGCTGAACACGCGATCAAATCTTGACACTTTTTCGGCCATCAGATCGCCCAGCTCCTTTGCCGCAGCTTCCATATTCTTGACAATGACATATTGACCTGTGGGCAGCTTGTCGTCGCCTCTAGCAGGGTCTACCACGCCCAGCTGTCGCAAAGTCCAACTCATAACACTCCATGGTAGACCTGCCCAACTGCGCTGATAGATGCTCTGTTGAGATTTCTCAAAATCTTGCAGTGGTATAAAGTCCCGGCCGGCGGTCGCTTCGCGCACTACGGTCCCGAGTGCCAGGGGCTGGCCAAATTCCTTGTATTCCAGTGACCGCAGCAAGGAGTCGTCGAGTTTGAGTACGAAGTGGTCGGGGCTGGATCCGCGGTGGGAAATCTTGCCCTTGGCGACAAGATCTGAGAGGGCCTGACGCCAGGCGGATATGTTTGCTTGGTAGCCATCGGGATTCAAGGAGCGCTGTGATCGAAAATCCGAGTATCGGGCTGCTAATCGTGACCTCGAGAGTTGTTAGTCAAACAACAACAGTTATCCAGATACGTGGGACAAGATGTGCTACCTGCTGAAGCTAGGGTCGTTATGGATGAGGTAGTCGGCGAGCTCGCCCATGATGTCGTTTTGCAAGCTGAATCGGTTCTAGGAGTGTTTCGCCTTGTAAAAGAAAGACCCAGAGGGTTAAAAATTCAAGATCCGTCAACGGCTGTCTTTTCACGTCTTACGACGAAATGATGGATGTTCAAAGAAAGTTTTGAAGAATGACGACACATTTGGAGGATGCATGCCGTGAATGCAATGCACGTTGGCGTCGCCCCGTCCCATGGCTTTGGATGGGCTAGAGCTAGCTGTCACCAGGGACAATGATAGTGGGGGTTCAGTGAATTGCCAGGGGTGATCCCGCCCCTTTATTCGAATGGATATGGTCCAGTAGGTTGGGACAGCATTTCAGGCTCGAACAACAGAGCCTATGCAAATTTAAGCGCTTTGTCTTTCCGTCCTAAGCGTTATAATCTTTTCTCATAAGTCATCTCGAAGTCATGAATTCTCACCAAAGTCTAGATTCCTTGTGCCCGTGACAAGTGTTTGAAGTATGCTGGATGTCATGGCAACCAATGAAATGATTTCATCTCAACCATCAACTCATGGTATTGACTCGCTTCGTCATGTGCTTAAGAGCCCATCCTTTGTAACAGCTACCTAGTTTCTAGCACTATGAAGAACATTCTTTCTACCCCATTCTAGCTTTGCCCTTTCAACTCAAAAGAAACGATAAGTGTTTAGCAAGTATCGCATCCTAACAGCAACTTATACAAAGATAAGGTTATCTTTAATAGAGATTTCTTTCCCTGCTGCACCTAAGGATAGTTTCGTTAGATTGCAACCACGTCTATTAGACAGCGCCGTGACAAACTACTATCCCTGAGTACGATTTGTGAAAGGATTCGATCTTACATCAACGCATCATGAAGATGAATGCAATATAATGTTTGCAATTCAACGTCTAGATGAAGCTGTAAGCGAACGGGTAAACACGGTAACTGAGCTCAGAGCCGAGGCCGCCATGTCAATAGAACCAAGCCTACCAAACTTTGGGGGACCTAAAATGACGTTGATTATCTCCTAAGAGCCCAACTGGCTGCAATTAGGTCACGGCGAGGGGTCGTAACCAATTAAAATGCACAGAACAAGAGGTACTTCTATAGCTACCTAAATTATGCAGTAGTATAAGTACCAGCAGGTCTTATTATTATAAATTAGTATATTATATATCTTGCACCTATACCTTATCTGCTAACTGTAATGCCTTCCTCTTATATTACTGCTAATTTTAGTAAAAGTATGCCTTTATAAGCCTTTTAACTTTATCTGCCCTTACTAAAAGCCTTAATAAGCTAGGTATCTTAAATAATAACTATAATAGATATAATTAATATCCTTATTTATATATCTTTATTATATTTTTTAATTATTAATATCCTCCTTAGCCCTTAATTAATATATCTTTCTTACTTAACTTTCTTAATAATATATATTAAATAAGGCATTTAAAATATACTTCTGCTAATCTTCTTATAATATATATCTCTTTTAATTTAGTTAGGAATTATATAGTTAAAGGATATAGCTATTAGTAAGTATAATATTAAGGAGGAAGGTTTATATAAGTACTTGCTAAGCCCCCTAGTATAGGAGGTAATTATAGCTTATATATAACCTTAATTAATTACCTTAGTTAATATAATTTATTTTATTATTATAAGTAGTAGCTACTATTAAGATTAAAATAACTTTAATAGTCTCTTTATTAAATTTAAGCTATATTAGCTAGGCTTATAAGTAATTTATAGATAGCCTCTTCCTCTTCTTATTAATATATTTATTACCTTAGAAGATAGTTATAATAAAGAGCATAAGGCTATTATCCTTTTAAGCTAGTTAATTAACTTATAAAGGAGAGGAAAGGATAAATTAATAAGGGAAATATATAGAAAAGTATTATAACTTCTTACCTTATTATCCCTTATTAGGATAGCCCTGACTTTATTAAAGGCATAATTATAATGCCCTAGTTTATTAAGTGCCTTATCCCTCTTTAAGTCCTTATATATGCCACAGTTAGGGCAGGCTATGCCTGTAGCCTTATATCTGTAATTATAAAGCTTGCAGAAAAGAGGTAGTATTAAGAAGAGGTTATCTATAAAGATATAATATATTTGCTTTAGCAGCATATTATATAGGGAAATAACAATGCCCTATATATTACCTAGTTATATAAAAGCAGCTGCCTCCTTACTAGCTGCCTCTCTCTCTTATATGCTAAGGCGACCTCTCTTTTGCCTTAGCCCCTAGTCTAAGGTATTGTAATTTAAGCCTTTAAAGTGCTAAAGCTACTAAATAAAGAAGCCTACTTAAGCAATAACCTAGATCTTAAAGCCTAGTAGAGTTAGCTTCCCTTTAATAATAGTTATTACTATTAATCTGCTTATATAGCAGATTATATACTTATTTATAATAAGATAAGAGCCTAGTTAGAAGAGTATAACTAATACTCTTTATATATAGTTAGATTACTTTTTAGTAGCTTAAAATACCTTTAGAAAGGGGGCATTTTTATTAATCTTAATATAATTAAAGGGATAAAGATAGTAGTAAATTAGCTAAAACCTCTAATAAGGCATAAACTTAATAATTAAGTATAAGGGGGATTAATCTCCTAGCTAGGGAGCCTTCTAATAGCTTTATAGCTTCCTTTCCTTATAAATTCCTATATAAATTAGTATACTAAGCTATATATAGATTTATATAATAGAGATCCCTTCTTAAGCTAGGAGTATTAAGTATTTATAAAGTAGGTTATTTTAGCTATTAACTATGCTATTTTTAAGTAGGTAATAAATTTAACTATTAATATATTTAATTTACCTTTAAAGCAGTAATTTAAGTATAAAAAGCTAGAAAAGATTAAGTAGTATATTAGGTAAATAACTAATATAATAATTGCAAGGTTATATAATAAAAGGGCTGAAATTAAAGCTATAAGTCTTATTAGCTAGATAATTATTAGCCTTAATAGGCTCTTTTAGGCCTATATAGGGGCCCTTATATTGCTTATAGAAGCTCTTATTATTATAGGAATCGATTTCCTATCTTTAATTAGGATCTAAAGAGGTATTTATTAATTAAATCGCTATAAATTATATAGTAATTTGGCTATGAAAGGATAGAAGCTGAAGCTTTTGGTATCCTGCTCATACTGCTGTAATGATAGGGATAGGGTGGGGCGGGGTACGGATTGCAGCCAGTTGGGCTCTTAGGAGATAGGCGTCTTCGTCACTTTGACCAGAAATATAGCAACTTTTATAGCTTCTGATAGGATAATTCCTGGGCTCAGGTCCTCCGGGCCCTCAACTCCAGCACCAACACCCCACTGGAGCACATGTCGAATCGCGGGGTAAGAAAAGGCCGCTCCTCCAGTATGACAGTTTTGAACGTTGGAGGCATTGTATCTTTGAATGGCCTGGAACTCGACTCTCATGTTCTCATGATCTGTTTGTCTGTTCCTTTTGTCTGATCAGAAAGTGGCTTCATAATCTAGGCATCTTACAGTGGAGTCACGATAGGGAACCAATATCTAGACACCATCATTATCTCTCATATTCAAATTGAACCTTTCCCATTGTACTTCAACTCCGACTCCTCCAATCTTCAACCTCTCTTGTCAAGTCCAATCACACCATCCTCATCTCCATCTTCTCCACCGTCTTAGTCAACAAATGAATACCCGTCGTCTGTTCACTACCGCATTCAGGACCCTCAACGTCTCTCTGTCAACCTCACATTCAAACTCCTTCACTCCCCTCCTTCGTCCCCTCTTCACTCATCGCACAATGGCTTCTGCTGCTGCCAAACGTCTCACTGGCAAGACAATCCTTGTCACTGGCGCATCCTCCGGCATCGGCCGCTCCACGGCACTGGAGTTCGCTCAGACTGCGCCTAAGAACGATCTTCGTCTCATCCTTACTGCGCGCCGTGTTGATTCCCTGAAGGAACTTGCTGAAGAAATCAAAAAGGAGGTCGGCGATGGTGTCAAGGTTCTGCCGTTCAAGCTCGATGTGAGCAACCCTGCTGAGGTTAAGGGTATTGTAGGCAACTTGCCCGAGGAGTGGAGGAACATTGACGTGCTTGTCAACAATGCGTAGGCTCTTATATGTGGACAACTTCGTTGAATGGTTGCTAACAACAGAATAGAGGCCTTGTTAAAGGTGTTGCTCGTGCCCCTGAAATCGCAGAGGAGGACATCAACGTTATGTTCCAAACAAACGTCACAGGCCTCATCAACATGACGCAGGCTATCCTCCCCATCTTCCTTGCCCGACCAGACGGTGGCCACGGTGATATCATCAACGTCGGCTCCATTGCTGGCCGAGAGCCTTACCCCGGCGGTGGCATCTACTGCGCTACAAAGGCCGCTGTTCGCAGCTTCACTGACAGCTTGCGAAAGGAGCTCATTGCCAGTCGTGTCCGTGTTATTGAGATTGATCCCGGCCAGGTCGAGACTGTAAGCATAACCTATGTGACCAATATAACGTGATTCTCATGGTGAATAGGAGTTCTCTGTTGTACGATTCTATGGCGACAAGGCAAAGGCCGATGCTGTATATGCGTAGGTTGTCCTGAGCTGGTCAAAATGCACGGTACTGACTTTCGAGCAGCGGATGTGAACCTCTCACCCCCGACGACATTGCTGAGATCATCGTTTTTACCGCAACTCGTCGAGAGAACGTCGTTATTGCCGATACACTCGTCTTCCCCAGTCATCAGGTAAGCAACTGACTCAAACACTCAAACCTTGGCTAATCTTCTGGGCGACAGGCTGGCGCTGGTATTATGCACCGAAAGACTTAGACAGCCAAGATTAAACATAATAAACAGCCAGCATAACAATGATGCAAGCGGGCAGAAGATACAGATAAGAATTATATTGAATAAAAGTCTTACTTATAGATAATATAACCTGAACCGCTATATATGACATACTTTTGAAACAAGCGCATCTTGTTTACGAAATGTTCGAAAATTTCTCTTGCCTACAACTCATTTGTCCCAGAAGAGACATGAATCCATGATGGTTCTGAGTTGCAGGCCTTCTAAGACCGAAAGATTGTTCTACCAACGTTCCGTTAAGAACCCATTCTGGGATGAATCGGGCCCTTGCCATCAACAAGTGACAGCACCGCTGGGTTGCATTTCACCGAACCTCGACAAAAGGCTGACATCTACATCACGTCACGCCATCACGAACCTAAACCAGGAGACCAGGAACTGTAATCGTAATTCATCACCTACTCTGCTTTTTTGTCGGAATTTTTATCCTCAGAGTCAATGGTCCTGCACAGGATACCAAGATGTCCTTTCCCCAGACGCCTCGCTAAAAATTGAATAATAATCATCAAAACATACATGGTAGTGTTGATCAAGCACTCAGCTGCCAAGGCAGACTGGGTGCGATTGCGTAGCAACGGGTGATTGTGAGATTGGAAGCATTGCGATGCAGTCCTATCTAATCACCATAATGTTGGAAGAGAGGCGAAAGAGCCTCACCATAGTGGTTACGTCGAATGGCCTCCGCCAGTAGGAATGAGAGATCGAGAACCACGAGCTTGCTGATGCTGCGTGCCCTGTCCTTATCGATGGGAAAGCTATTGGTCACAACAATCTGGTCGATGCACTCGCATGCTTGTAGTTGCTCCAGGCTGTCACCGCCAAACACACCATGAGTGGCCATGCAATAAACCTTCTTAGCTCCACCTTTCTTGACCACCGTCTCAGCTGCAGCGATCCAAGATCCGGCCTTGTCAATCATGTCGTCCACTATGAAAACGGTCCGGTTCTTGACGTTTCCAACCAGAGTGATGAGATGCTCGGCACCTGGATCCTCGAACGCGTTGTCCTCCTCGTCGGAACTTGCCGCAGCGTCGCCAGATCCTCCAAGAGATTGAGGCTCAGGGACGAAGAAGGATGAAGCATGAGACATAGTCATGGGATCATCTTCGACACTGCCGTCGACAACAGATCGATCAGGAGACGGATAGTCATCCTCAACAATACGGCCTTGAACCAAACGGCCCTGTGTAACCTCAGACGCTTTATGATCATCATAATCCGCCTCGCCATTGACTGAACCATCAGGTGATCCGGCAGGGGGAGTAGTGTTGGGATCCGCAGCCTCGGCAGCATTCGGTGTGGCTGAACGAGCGGAGCTGTTGACCCGTGTGGGAGAGCCCTGTGAGTTCGTCACAATTCGCGTGGAGCGAGGAGGGGGTGTCTGCCTCTTGGGGGTAGCCTCAGATTCGGCAGCACGTTCGGAAGCCGGGGGTCCACGATAGGGAATGGGTCGGTTGGACTCCAATGGCGTGGGTTGGCGCTCGGCATTATGATCGAAGTGCCTCATGATCATGCTGGCTGTCATGTTACTAACACGCTTCCTGTCTGTAGTGACAATTCCGAAATTGAGCTTGAGAGCGTCCGCAAGCGATGTCACTCGCTTGGTTCCTCCAGCGTTCTTGGAGACCACGACCGCTTCGCGCCAGTTAGACACGTTGTGGCGGATCCACTTCGCGAGTATAGGCTCTGCGTGCAGGTTGTCAACGGGACACTTGAAGAAGCCCTGCATCTGCGAGGCATGAAGGTCGACAGTGATAACGTGCTTAACGCCAGCAACACCCAACAAGTTGGCAAGCATGCGAGCAGTAATCGCACCTCTATGCGACTTCTTCTTTGATTGGCGGCTATAGGGGAAATAAGGAAGGACGGCTGGACGATAACAAGTAAGCCGATTGAGGTCTCAAACAGGGGAAGAGAACCACGAACCAGTGACTTTGTTAGCAGAACCGCCTTTGCAGGCCGATATCATGATGAGAAGCTCCATGATGGAGTCATTGATGCTAGGGCTGCCTGATTGGACAACGAAGACGTCCTTCTCTCGGACACTTGTCAGAATTCTGACGCTCGTTTCACCCTTGGGCACTGGTTAGCTCAAAGCACGCAGCTTGTTCGACTGCCAGGCATGGGCCTGTAGAGGAGTATCGTGATGGTTTGCCAAATAAGGGTTATGTTGAATAACCATGGCGACGAGCACGAGGGCAAGGGAAGCTCACATTGGAGAACTGGGTAAGCTCAGCGCTGGCAGGATGCATGCCCAGATTCTCACAGATTTGACCTGTGAGGACTGGGCAGGAATTGCCTGCGAAGATCAGTGTATTGCGCATCTTGACCAGCCCATCGACCGAGGTGGAAGGGTGAAGCTTAGAAGAAAAGAAGGAAGAAAGAAAAGTTGAGGTTGAAGGAAAGCTGCGTTCAGGTTGGGGCTTTTTTTTTTTTCGTTGCCCCGGCTTATTGCACTGTGTGTCGGAAAGCTGACCTTCACTGTGGACAGGAGCTGTGTTTCTTTAATAGTGGAGTCAAAGACTAATTCTTGCACCAAACCAAGCAACCCGAAGCCGGAAGGATTACAGTGTTCAATACTGTGCTACCATCCCCGCAGTCATTAACCAAGCGGGGCATTCCGGAAAGTGCGTCACAGCCTCGCAATTTCTCAGTCGAGGCCACTGAAATTCCTGCTCTATTACCTGAGATGCCAGTCCCTTCTACGAAGAAGTACACTGATTTTTGAGTAAGGTACCTAGGTATCAGCAATATCGACGCTGAGGGACCTGGAAACACCTATATTCTCTTTGACCAATAATAACCTGGGCTTTTCCCTAATGAGAATGCGATAGAAATTCACTAACCTTGAAACCCTCCCACAACATGGGGATTCCTCGTCTTATAACTACCCTAGAGCAATATGTTGTTCATGGAAGCCTCGACGATGAACACGTAGTCATCGATGGACCGGCATTGGCTTATCATATTCTGTACATCTGCAACAGACATGGTATTCCTCAGCCGTCATACGAAATTCTCGGTGAGACTGCTGTAGCATGGTTGGATGAGCTCACTCAACGTGGTGCAGGCGTGTAAGTTTGGTGTCTCTTTGTTGGCTGGTTAAGACTAACCACAACAGCGGCGCCATATACTTTGACGGATATTTACCACCCGGAAAAGAACCCGTTCGCATGCAGCGAATGATCAAAAGCCTCAATCAATTGAAGGCCTCACATTCGTCTGACACCAATGGTTTCTTCCCGTCGTACTTCTCCGCTGCCAACGAGACTACCCCGGTCCTATTCTCTGCAGTTAAACCACCAGGAAAATCGGCCTTGCCACCCAGTTTTCATGTCCCTGCTATCATTGACGCCTTAAGGTCTTCGCCACGCTACACCAAGGTAGTGATTCTTGTTCCGGGAGAGGCGGATGCATACTGCGCACGGCATCTGTCGCAATCAGGCGGGACGGTTCTCACCTCCGACTCGGATCTTTTGGTTCATGACCTGGGCAAGGGAAGTGTCGTCTTTCTTCGCGACATTTATCTTGATGAGCAGTCAAATCTCGCATGCGCAAGCTTCAGTCCTTCACATATCTGCGAGAAACTTAGACTTGCGTCTTCTGCTGAGATGTGCCGATTTGCTTACGAACGAAAACGGTCTGCACATTCAACACTTCCACAACTTTTACAGGAGTGTGCACAACCAATCACCGACCAAATGGGTTACACTGAGTTCTGCCACGAGTATCTAGACCATGTAGTTGCACCAATTCCCACCTCAACACACGGAAAAGTAATAGAAATCGGTTCACTGGATCCCAGAATATCGGAGATGGTATTGCAACTAGGATCTCAGAATGGCCACATGCACACTACGAGCGATCCCAAAATGTTTCTCCCTATTCTGTTAGAGAGTCCTTTGCGAGGAAGTGCATGGGAACAGAGTACGTCAATTCGGCAGTTGGCTTACACAGTAGCCCGTTGGATCATTCCTGGTCCTTCTTCAACGGTTCAGGAGTACCGGAGGGTCAACACTCCGGTGCAGAAAGGACGACAGGTTCCTATGTTACCTGAAAAAGAAGCAAAAGCGTGGTCTCAGAAGCTGATCAGACTGATGACTACAATCAGAGCAGGAACTCAAGGCGACACAACTCAGGCTTGGTACATCCTGTGCCTGACCCTTGATATACGATATAGCCATGAAGATGGCAAGCATTCACATTCACTGCAGACTTTGGAAGAGAGTTTGCAGACTCCAACTTTTAGGAAAATTACTTGGGATACTCTTCACTTTGTTGCTCATTTTCAAGCTGCTTTTTACTCATTTCGGCTCTTGAAACAGATCCTCTCACTTGGGCAGCTTCAAAGAACCTTACCAGATCTAAACGAAATGCTCTTGTCATTACCACCTCTAGTGGAGTTTCCTGATGTGGAAAGAACCCTTGCATTCCTGCAAAGAAGCAACCAAGACCAGGTTTATAAGACAATTTCTAGGCTTGTCCCATTGTCAAATGCCAACATGGACGCAAAGCCAAAACGAACTGCCAAAGACAAGAAGAAGCGGAAGGTGGGGAAAGATGATGCCCCCAAAAGGCAGAACAGCTCTGCGAAGTCTTCGTCAAGAAACTTCTTTGATGTGCTGTCTCAATAGAGTTAAGCATTAAAAGTCACAATGCATACCGATACCAAGATCAAAACAAGCTTACTACTCTTGTGTAATTTGTTACATGGTGATTACATCGTACCGACGATGAATCCCGCCAAGCCTAGCCATTATCAAAGACTCAAATATTGAGCCACACGATTACGTCTCGTTGCGCCAGCACCGATCCTGACCCTGACCCGTCCGTAACTTCGTACATCGTCTCAACATAATAATTATACAATCAAGTGTTTCGGGATTGACAAGCTCCATGAATCTCATCCAGGAGGCGAGATAAAGGACTGCTTTCTTCCTCTACATCGGCCACATCCCGGAGTAAGCTTTCCTGGGGGCTGCCATTGCCAGCCGACTTGATAATCTTCCACGCCCGACGGAACTCATCGCGAATTGACACAATACCATTGTGTGTGACAGTTCGAGCAACGTTGTGATCCAGCTCAAAGGGGTCCTCGATAGCAAAGAGATAGCGGTGTCGGACTTCCTTGAATTCTCCATTCTTCCCTGTGACGCTGCCTGGTGTACCTTGTTTTGGCTGTGCTCCTGTATCCTTTACATCACTCTCCTTAGGATGCACTGCCGTGGAAGACGCTTGGTCGGAGTGAGGCAGCGGATGAGATCCAACATTGTGAGCCTCGATAACTGTCTTGGCGCCAGTCCAACCCTTGTCTTGCTTCGTCTGCAAACCACCTGGGGTCCGCAGACTGAGCACATCTCTGCCCCAGTCAAATCCTCTGCCCGTGGAAGTGCTGAGCATACTGCTGTGGGCATAATATTCGAAGAAGCCACGCAGGAGGTGGCCAATGGTGTCTTTGTTACCATTGAGCTGGTTCGCTCGTGCCAGACTCAGGATTTCCTCTTCGTTACGCCAAAACTGAACATTGTGACCACGGCACATAACCATATCCTCAAATTCGACAGGCGAGAGCCCTGGAGGCGGTGGGGGAGCGAGCTGTTGGAGATTTGGGCTAACAAATGGTTCAGCGACGTTGACTAGATAATGAAGAACCATCAAGACATAGCCATAACTGCTAAGGGTTCCGCGATATCCCGAGTTGATGCCACGAGTCTTCGCCCAATGCTTGACGAACAAGACCATGGGCCGAACGCGTGGATCGGTGTGAGAGTAACATCGCAGAAGGGCGGTGTTGTGAAGAGCCAAATGGGCCGAGAAGTTGATGTCACATTGCACACCTGCACCTGTCTTGGGAAACTCCAAATGATCTCTGTATCGATCGCGTGGCTGGTTCGGAGCCATCTTGTGAGGGTCGGGAAGTTGTCGGATTCTCGCCACAAGGTCTACCGTTGTTGGCGTAAGGGGAATGAAGAACCCATCGCCAAGTTTCAGGCGATCATTTTGTTGTAAAGGTGACCGCAGCAGCGCGATATAGTCTTTAACATCCTGAACGACGGACTCATCGTAGGAATCCTTGTCTAATGCTCGCTCAAATTCCCACGCCAAATGGATGCATTTGTGTAAGAGCCCGACTCCTCTGAGCGACAGGGACTCGGAACATGTGGTTATGCAAGTCTGTAACGTCTTTCGAATCTCCTCCTGATGAATACCGCCAACATATTGATTAACAAGCATATTCGTCCACTTTGAGATAACTTGTTCATTGGCTGGCTTTAGTCCGTTGAAGATGTAGAGTGCCCTCGTATAGTATGACACAGGCGCCTCGTGCTGACCCTGTTCTAAAACCACAAATTGCACGGAAGGGGCCTTTTTAAGCTTGTCAAGGGCCAACTGGAGCTCTTTAGTGAAGAAGATAGGATCGGTACAAAAGTTCTCTCTGTATTGGGCGTCCTCCCACACCTTCAAGGCCTGCTCAGTCAGTGATTGAGAAGCCTGGTTACGCTCTTCGACACCACTCTCCTCCCAGCGCTGCCGAATATGTTCGCCTTCTACCTGGGTGTAGACCCCAAGTAAAGATCGTTTGGTTGGAGTGCCTGCATCTTGCGCAAAAGAGAGAGACGGGTACGTAGACAAGCGATCACGAATACGAGTATCCGCAAGACCGTTGATGAAAGCCTCGCTCACTCTGTTCAATAGAATCCAATCTTCATCCGAGAGTACGCGATAATTAGAGATGGTAGCATCACGGCCACTGGCTCTACGAAGAACTCGCTTGGCCAAGCCATAGTATGAGGAGAGAGAGCTTCTGGTTCCTTGCTTAAGTTCAATTGTTTTCGTGCCATCTTCGCCGGGATCCTGTGACACGGGCTCAACGACAGTTGCAGGATTGTTTTGAATCCTTGTGATGGGGCCTTGCTGACTCTCATGATCGTTGTTTGCTGCTTGTGGATCGTGTTCATCATCTTCCTGAGCTTCATGAGCATCATCAAGGCCATTCTCCCATCGAAATCTTTCTTCAAGAAGTCCCTGGCGGAGCTTTTCCGGCGGGGACTCGCATAGCTTGATGATGGGGACTCTAGTTCGGGTTAGAAGCCTCGCCCCTAGACCAGCTTCTAAAAATGCTTTCTCTAGGAGACGCGGGATAGGAGATCCTGGAGCATCAGGCTGGGAGGCAGACATTGGTGAAAGAAGACCAAGATCCATGTCTGAGGCCTTGGTTGCAAAGCCTGAAGACAGACTGCCAAAGCATTTCAGCTGAACTGTGAGGGGTTGAAAGTCTGTTTCTGGCCTTTCCCCCTTCTCGTAGTTGGCAATCACCTCTCGACTAATGGATTCAATTCGGCAACGGAAATCCTCCTTTTCTGCTATTTCCGACCTCTCGATTTCAGAATTGGAAACGACTTGAAAACAAAGCTGATCAAGCAGAGCATCCTGAGCTGCAATTTCCTCCGGATGGAACTGAAGTGGGCGTCTGGTATTGTACAGATAACCAGAACCCCGGTTCAATTGGGTTGGCATAGAGTTGGGGCGGCCACGTGAAGAGGGAGGAATATTGTCATAGCCTCGATACCTAGACGGCTGAGGGCCATTCCAGTGGCGATGGGAGTACGAGCCACTTTGATGATTTTCGCTAGAAGCTCCCCATGGCTGAGAGTCAGTATGCATGTGACGTTGATGAGGCTGAGAGGGGCGGGAGTATTGAGAAGTCGGGCTTTGGTAAGTTCTATTTGGGGGAGGTTGCTGGGCTCGAGGGTCAATAGATATGGATAGTTGGGAGCTCATTTGGCGTCTTTGTGCCTGGTTTAGCCGCTTGCGTGCAGGCTTGGACTGATGAGGGGTCCCATCGGACGTTTCAACAGAAAAATTCTTGTTGTCTGAGTCGCTTTGAGATACGGGAGCTGGTTGCGGAGAAGCCCTGTTCAAAGAATCATGTACCGGTGGGCCATTAGAGATGATGAGATTGCGCAAGTGATTCTCGATACCTGCTTGGGAGTCACCAGGGGCCTCCACTTGAGGCTCACGCCGATGAGGAACCATTGATGACTTGAGAAACACAATATGCGTTAGAGGAATGGAGTTGTTCTTGCCGTTAAGCTCAGTGCGATAGAACTCGTTGTAAGAATGTCGACCAGGGTGTGAATAGTTGCATCCCACTCAGCAAACACTCTCCCCAACATTCGCTTCCGTATAGAACACTTTCTTGTTTGGGAAGGCGCATCAAACCCAAACACGCGGGAGACTCAATGCATGTAACAACTGCAATTCAGTTTTGCGCTTTCTTTCAACTGGAGGAAGGGAGGGGGTCTGGTGGACAAAGATGTATAGATGCTTTGGCATCACCTCACCAACACGGAGTGAAAAGATGAACAAAGAACGAAATAAGTAGGAGCCCAGAAGGAGCAAATAAACTGATTGCCCAGTTGCTTGTTAAGGGCCGTGGCTGCGGCAATGAAGTCGTGAAGTGTGATGTTGAAATGTGCCGGGCCTGTTTGGAGCTGCTGATCTCCACAAAATGTAGTTATGAGTTCACTGTTTGTCAGAAGCATCCATAGCGTACTACAGTGCCGTATCCAATATTCTCACTGTGCTAACCACTTCTTGAGTGCAAAGTATCTTTCATAGAAAGCTTGGTACCTTCTTTTGGCAATTAGGCTACTCTAAAATGGCAATATTCGCATGTTAAAACACTGCGTAAAATGACATTCCGTGATTGATAAATGCAGAGTTTGTATTCTTTGTCCTCGTGGACAGATCCAACCATGCGTCATTCCTAAGACGATTAAGATAAAGTAACCTCAAAGGAAAACTCTATGTACGACCTTTATGCTCCAAGGCAAGGGCATTCATTTGACAAGATTTCGCGATGGATGTCATTTAGGTAGTTAAACAATTAACGTTCTGAGAAGACCTGACTTGCACTCTATAAACATGAACTTTAAGGTCAGTAAGGCCCAGAAACACAGGGAGCTGGAAGCTCGTTGAGCGCACAGCCACATGTGGCTTTTTACTTCAGAGCCCTTGTCATCGTCATAAGGTAGGTGCACCATCTTGCTCAGGACCTTTGTCCCTGCGTTCAGCACCATCTTTGCCCGGGCATAAAAATACTCCTTTGCGCCCTCGCCTGGCAACCCCAGTCTTTTCCTGTTATTGATAATTCATACAGCGTCGAATTCCCATCACTATAATCTACAAATTCTTCCGGATACGCGCGTTAACTCTGCCTCGCGCCCAGCGCCGAGCTAGGCTACAGGCCGTAACCTGTTGTCGTCAGAACATTCCCGGAATTTCTTTCGCGCAATCGCGATCTCTTCATCAACATGAGCGCGCCGCCTCCCCCAGGCAATCCGCCTGCCAACGCGCCTGGCCATCCAAATGGTGCCCCGAAGAAACAGAAGGCGAATCCCCTTCGGCCGTTGCGTAGGAACCCAAAGGCAAACCCCCTTGTTTCTCGAAGACCACCACCCAGACCAACAGCGCCGTCTGCTCCGGGTAGGCAGAATGGAACAAAGCCAAATATCGAAGAGATTCGACGGCAAAATGGTGGCTGGTCAGAGCCACCGCCACCTCACTTCAACGACATCCCCATTATGACAACGAAGAAGGCTCTTCTCGACGGCATTCGATACCACATGATGAAGTTCACTCAATCTAAAGCAGGAGGAAAATCCATCGATCCAACTGACCAGGACGACTTCGCACGACCCGTAACATTACACCGACGAGATGCTCGCCAACCCCCTCCAGGAAGGGCCGTCAAGACCGAAGCACTTGAAGCGCCCCAGGCTGATGAGGAAGAAGTGGAAAGACAGGCACAGAGGAAAGCAGAACGGGAGGCTCAGCGCGCCATTGACCAGGCCAAGATTGCACCTGTGGCCAAGGATCCTAATCCCAAGCGACCGAAGAAGCAAAAAGAGGAGAAGACAACATTCAACCGAGCGCCCAAGACTGAAACTGCTAAGAAGGCGTCTGACCTACGATACGAGGAAGCTCTTCCATGGCATCTTGAAGATGCAGAGGGTAAAAATGTCTGGGTTGGCAACTTCGTGGACACACTCTCTGGATCTAATGTAGCCTTCATGATTGACCAGTCTGTTTTCCGCATGATTCCCCTGGAGAAGTGGTACAAGTTTACGTCTAAGCCTCCTTTCCAAACTTACGACATTGATGAGGTGGAAGCCTTCATGAGTAAGAAGGTGGATGTGGGCCGTTGGGTCATGAGAGACGAAGAGAAGAAAGCTGGGCGAAAAGACCTGGAAGCGACAAGAAAAATGTTCTACGGGAGCGGCCCGATGGTCAAGACTGAAAGTGCCACATTCAAGGCGGCTTCGAGGTCGGAGAAACTGGAACATGATGAGATTGATATGTCGGGTGATGAATTTCAAGACGATGATGAGGCTCCTATGTTCGAAAGGAATGACGATGAAGACACAAAGGACTCCAAGGACCGTATTCGTCGGGAACAGCTCGGTGCCAACTTATTCGGAGAAGGTGACGAGCAAGAAGTAGACAAAGAGCTGGATGAACAGCTCCGAGAAGAGATTTTACGACAGAAGCTCGGCAAAGCTACCAAGAAGGCATTGATCAAGAGAGATCGAGAGGATATCTACGAAAGCGATGATTCCGAGGAGAATCCATGGAGCAGTTCGGTAAAGTCCTTTTTATCAACTTGGGTCAAAATAATGCTAACTGATATTTCAAGTCTGATGACAACTCATCCGACGAAGAAGAAGAGGAAGACAAGAAAGATGAAGAGAAGAAGGACGCCAATAAGGACGAGAAGAACCAGAGCGGTTCCGGATCCAAGGGCACCAATACTCCCTCCGGGAAGAAGCCTGAAGGCTCTAAGAAGAGCAAGTCGCTCAAGCGAGCCGGCTCCCCAGCACTATCCGAGTCGAGTGGAAACGAATCTTCCCGCAAAAAGCTCAAGAAAAATGTCACATCTGCCACAGGTAGCAGGTCTGGCACTCCGCTTTTACAGGGCGGAGCCCGTCGACCTACGGCTGCTGGATCTGGTAGTGACGGAGAGGCAACTGCTGGCGAGATGTCAGATGGAGCAGCACCGAAGAGGAAGAAGCTGAAGTTGGTTAGTAACAGTGCTCGGGGCACTCCTTCGGCATCCAGAGCTGGCAGTCCCAACCCAACCCAGGGTGGTAAGTTTTCCTTCGGACTGATTTCAGGCCGAGTTATAACTAACATTGTCTTGCAGCTGCTTCCCCTGGCTCACCCGGAAATTCAGCTGTCGAACCATCCGAAATTCTCGACAAGATTCCCGCTGAAGGTATCACCGTTAACGAGTTGATCAAGCTCTTCAACCACCGTTTGGGTGATAGGCCAGGCCAGATGTCTAAGACTGAGTGGATTCAGCTTGTCAAGAAGCTTTGTGATTATGGACCTGACAAACGACTTCGCCGAAGATCGTAAAAGCATAGATACCCGATCAGGGCGGTAATCTCGTGTCTTTCTTCTCTTCTGGAGTTTTATTGCCTTGCGACCTCTTTGTTAGCGCACCCCGAACCCGACGTAATATCGGAATCCGACAACAGTATACATCTTGATATTCAGATTACTAGTTATGGAGGATAAGGTCAATTAGTTGAGCGCTTAAAATGGGTATATAATAGAATATCTGCATCCAACTCTACCCGTTTATTCATCCATTTGCCAAGAGTATTCAAGTCCCTTGTTCCGCTCTCTACGGTTGAGTGCCTTGAACCTCTCAGCTTCAAAACCATTGCCACGATCGACGCCATCCCAGCGATAGCCTGGTTTGATTCCGTACCGATTTGGCGGCGCTGCGCCAGCGTACACTGGTTTGCGTTTTGACTTTTTGCTCTGTCCTGTCCCTGTTTGCTTCTTCTCACTCATGAACTGCATCATAGGATCGTTCCAGCGCTCCTGTTCTTTCAATTCCTGATTCATTTCTTCGTCATCGGCTGTGCGCGCGAATGACATAAGCTTGGCATCCTGTAGCTTCTCTCGGCGCTTACGAGCCTCCTCGAGCTGTATGTCACCCTTGAGAGCTTCTTTGGCCAAGCGTTCCTTTTCCTCTGCCTCGGCAGCGGCACGTCGTGCTTCGGCGCGCTTCATTGATATGTCGATTCTTCGGCCCGTGGCGTCTCGATATACTGTTTCTTCCTCCTTTGCTGATTTACGGTGCCGTTCGAACTCTTCGCGTTCTTCTTTTTGCCGTCGTTTAAGTTGCGCCGAAACAGTTGCAGCGCTTTGCAGTCCTGCATGTGTTCCGTCGCTCATCTTAACCGCTGATCCTTCGTCTTCGATCATGGGCATGTCCTCGTCTTCATCGCGAGCTGCATTTTGCTCGGCTGCTGCTGATGCTAGAATCGCGTCTGCAGCCGCAGCTGAATCATCTTTTGATGTCGCGTCGCCCCCAACTGACTTCCAATTGCTCTTCTTGGTTTTTCGAAACTCGGCAGATCGTCCCGATACTGTGACTGGAGCATCTATTCCCTCGTCATCCTGTTGCGTATTGGTGTGGCCCCAACCTGAATCGTCATCGTCTGTGATAAGAAGGCCATTATTGGCATCGGCGCCGCGCTTGCGCTTCCGTTTCTTGGCCGGTTTTGGGTCGGCGACCAAATATTTAGAAGCGAGATATGCTGATAAATCTGAAGGCATTTTGATTTCTGATGCGACAAAAACTGGGTTGAAAGGAGAGTGGCAGGACTTGTCTTTGAGTTAGGGACCTTGAATCTTCGAATACAGATATGCAGCTATCACGTATTGCGGCTCTCGCCTCGGTAGAGCAATTATAGTGGAGAGCTCAACGTCCCGCTGTCCGCTGTCCCTGGCTGTCCCGGTCTGGGGGGCACCACCATGAGGTAAGGGTACGTACCGCCATCATATCCCGAGTTTCCACATGGTCGCCCAACCTTTGTTGCTAATCTAAGATCAAAGTTCCTCAAAGTTTAAAGGCGCTGTTTACCTATATTCACCTAATGTGTCATTCACTTCAGTGACAGGATCATGCCGAGCCGACTTGTGGCCTATATTATTCGCCTTTCACCCTCACCTTCTTGCGCCTCATAATCCTCCGAAGTCCGGCCCTATATCATACCTATATCCTAGAACCCCTACGATTACGACCCCTTCCGACATCATCACCGTAAGCCGCTGCTCGCCGTCGCCTTCATGCCACAATCTCTCGAGAATGAAGCTTCGCCGACGGAACCGCTTCAGGCTCTGCCCGCAGCTGCGTCTGCCATGAAGCTTACGAAGTCGCGACACTCCACCCCTGTATTAGAGTCACTACCATTATCGCAATCGGAAACCAACCTTGCCTTTCGTCGCTCCAATCCGTCTGCTGCTTCCTTATATGCCTCGACTCTCTCTCCGCCTGGATCGCGCTCAATATCCCCAGCTGGTCGAGGATCGCCCTCTCGAGTTCTCTCCCATACCGTCTTCGATGCCCGACCGAACCGCCCACTACCTGAGACGGGGGGCGATGGCTCCGAACCTTTGAATCTCATTCTACAGGCATTCGTACCTCATGTCTCGATCTACTCTTCCCAGGATACAGATGCTTTGATGAACGAGAAGGGCTTTCGAAATGGTCTCTGGGAACTACTTAGACCCTTTGGTGAAGACGTGCCAGGCAAAGTTACGATCAGGGATAGCAACGGAATGAGCAAAGCCGCAGAAGGCTTTTCTATCAGATTTACAAGATTCGGTGACAATATTGAACATCCCGACCCCACAGTTTCGGGTTTCAGGAATCCTGCCTCCTCGCCAGGCCAGCATGGCAGCCAAGCGAGCACATCCAGGGATAAGCAATTTCTCATGGACGTGGAAGCTGTAGTCAACAGCCATTTGTCCTATGCAGAGGAGTCGTTCGCAGCGCTGCCTCAGCATGGCTTGTTCGCGGGTCCAGACACGGGCTCAGAAGAGACATCACCGTATTACGCTCTTTATTTGCGGCGATTGCTATCTGGCCTTCCTATTTCGCCCCACGAAACCTTTTCGCATCCGGTAGCATGTGTTGTTGCCATTAGCTCACGGAATCCAAACCCGCTCGAAGAGCTAAAGAAACTCTACACAGAGACAAAGGAGGGGAATCGAAAACTTCCACCCTGGGTAGACAGTGAATTTATTCGATACTATGTCTTGGTCCACGATGAAGAGAAGGACGACATAACAAGATCTATGGGACTATTTGAACAGATGAAACGAAATATGGGACCCCATTGCCATCTTCTTCGCTTAAGAAGCAGCCAGAGCGCCGAGACAGATGATGACAGCATTCCGCTCCCCCGCAGCGACTGGATGTCAGCACAAGAGGAACTGGAAGACATCCGAAGGAGTGAAGACGACGAGGACTTTGAGGACCCAACACGCTACATATTTGAATCTGATGCTACTGCCATTCGTACTTTTGTGCGTGAGATGGTGACCATGTCTGTTATCCCTACCATGGAACGGAATGTATCGTTATGGAATGACCAAGTGGCTTCCCGCCGAAGAGGGCTCACAGGTCGCTTTATGAATTTATCCAGGAAGTGGGCGTTCACCGGTAGCTCCAGAAATTCCACAGGTACTAGCAACGCAAGAGACAACTACAACGCTGCTGGGTTTTATGGATCAGAAGCCCCTGAGGCTATTATGCGGAAATTGGCTGACTACGCTTTTATGTTGAGGGATTGGAAACTGGCGCACTCAACATACGATCTTTTGAGATCCGATTTTAGCGATTCCAAGGCCTGGAAACATCACGCCGCCGCCAATGAGATGGCTGCGCTAAGTCTTTTAATTCTCCCACAACAGATGTCATCGAAGAATCGTGCCGAGACAATAGACCAAATGTTGGAGGCTGCATTTTACTCCTACAACACCAGGTGCAGCGCCCCCTACGGAGCATTGCGAAGCTTGCTCCTGGGTTTGGAGCTGCTGCGTTTACGGGGTGGGACGAATATTGATGATGCAGGGCGCTGGGGCGTGAGGCTCCTTGAGTCCAAGATCTCCGGCAGCGTGGGCGATGCATTGATAAAAGAACGACTCGCTATTTGCTATGGTTCGAAAGAGGGGGTCGGCAGTTGGCACTGGGGTTCGCGCCGTCGAAAATCAGCAACCTGGAGCGTCCTCAGTGCAGATGCCTGGCTTCAGCAATCCAAGCACATCCAGGCAAGGCGATGTCTTGATGAGGCCCAGAGGATGTACTCGACTTTGCCCCATAAGGAGGGGATTACTAAGTTTGAGGCAGCAGGTGACTTCATGGCATCACTGCAGCACAGTCTTGCAGAGTCGCCAGATGCATCGGATAACGATGGCGAAGGAGATGACGACGATGATATTGATGAGGAGAGTGAGGCCCTCAATGATATGAAGCCGAGGAGGCCAAGTACAGCAGCGGTGGACATGTATCGGGATACAACGAAGGAGGAAGATAGCAGCATGGATGATGGCACATAGAGAATATAACGACCAACGATTCAGATGCTTTCCATTCAATATGATGTCTTGTATAGCTCTTCTCTCTGTGGTGGCGACTATGTGTGGTGGTGTGCAGCCCATGCTTCCCTTGAGTTATAAGTGCGGAAATAAGGTGTGTCACTCCAGCAGGCTAAAATGACCTTTTGTTGGAAGATAAGGATGAAGATGAGATTTAACAAGAAGAAAATCTAGACCCCTATTGATTCATAATACAACCCTAGAGATAGGTCAAGTCAAAAGACCGTAACGCCGAGATGCAACCCCGTGTGTGGTGTGATATCCTATGTAAAAACATGAGCCGAGGTTGTTCTATACAACCTGTGCCGTTTGTGCACGGCGGCGGGCTTCCTCTTCTCTAACAATTACATTCCTCTGCTCGGCTATCAAAAGACGCCCTTTTCGAAAGGCGCCGAATGCGGATATAACTGAGCAAGCCGCAACTGCAGTCGCTATTCTCATTTCTACCTGAAATGCATCGGCGTAGGTATAGCGGACAGCTGACCACTGTGCATCAGTTAGATGTGTGTTAGAACCACCAATTGTTGCTTGTTCATAGGGCGTAAGAACGCCTGAAAGGTATTTTGAACTCTTCTCGTTCAGCAAGGCTGATGAAGCTGCGATGCCCAAGCTACCACCCAAGAGTCGAACTTGAGAGAGAATACCCTGTGCTGGCGCTAATGATGAATTGTTAGCAGAAGTATCTTTCCACGATCCAAGCTATGATGCATACCATAGTCCCTAATAGGCACCTCTACCGACGATAACATTGTCGAAGACGCGACGGTCAAGCCAAAGCCAAGACCACAAAAAGTCATGTAACCAAGAAGTTTCGCATCATTGGGTTCATGTGAGAGTGACGTGAGCAATCCGCAGCCGAGCGTCATAACGCTTGAGCCAAGTACCAATGACTCGAAGGTGTAATTCTTGGTAGCGTTAATCTTCCCTGCCATAAGGCTGCCAATAGCGGCTGTCCCCAACATGGGAAGCAACATGACGCCCGAGATGAGAGCAGACTTGCCACTAACAACTTGGAAGCGTAGGGGGATGGCATAGATAAGCAGCAAGTAAGGAAAGCCGTTGAGAAGAGTGTTGACAACGGCAGTAGAGTAGACCCGATTCCGAAAGATGTTGATTGGGAATGCGGGAGCAAACCGATCGTGCCATCGAT